TATATAGTAATGTATAAACATATATAGTACTATATAGTCAATGGTTGTATGCAGGACGGTCCTAGAGGGGTTTTGACAATTGCAGCGGAACCGGAAGTGCATTATTACGCATCGCAGTTACATTGACTAAGTATTATTGGCAGAGACTAACCAACGCATGTTTTATCCATCTATTGAGAACACGTCGCCTTTCTGACACTACATCATTAATCATTAAATATTAAAACAATTAATAAACTACTAACTACTGAATCACAATTAAAATGACGACCTGAAAACCTCCGCTGCAGAAAACCTTCTGTTCTATAACTACTGAAATATTCCATAATGCCCTAATACAAGTTAGAAGAATTCCCAATAATGTCCTAAGGAGATGCCAACGGCACTGCAAACAATTAACATGCGTTTTATATGGGGAAGACATATTTTTATTTGGGGTAAGTGCACTAGGCTATCATTACTATTTTTAACTTTTGAGTTTTGATTACGTATTACCATGTAATAACCCCGCCGCAGCAAACCTGCAGACTAAGTGAATTTCCATTTGCCTGATTGGATTTACACTGAAATGTCTCCTTAAAAATATCACATTTTCCCTAGCATTAGTTTAACGAGTACTTAGGTTTGCTGCAACAGAGAGGGTAAAAATATGTTTTTTTTTTGTAAAATTTTAATAGTTTAGAATGAAATGAATGCATTTTCCAAATTTGATCAAAATATGTTCATAAACAAGCAAACTAACATAGTTTATTTATTCTCCCTAAGAATAACATGGTTTTTTAAATTTACAATTTTTTGGAATTTTCTCCGTAACCATTAGGCACATAATAACGCCATAATATACTTTTTTTAAGCTCTACAAAATGGTTTGGAAAGAAATTGCTAAATATAAAGTTTTTAGGGTCAAAAATGGGTAAAACCAATTTTTACCTCATTAAACCCCCCATTAGACCCCTGTCCCCATGTCCGATCATGCTAGTTCGCGAACTTGTTCGAATAAACGTAGGTTTACACGTTTGTACTAAATTTTATCAAAATCGGATGATTTTTGCTCGAGTTGCGCTAACGGACACACATAGCCTATAAATATACATAGGCTATATATATGAATTTGAACGGATGGTGTTCGGATGGTCTCTAGGGACCTCAAAACGAAAAAGTGAATCGGTCCCGGGTCCAGGTCTTACCATGAGTACTACGGTAATAGCTTATTCCCTATATGGGGAATTCGCTAAAAATATAATGTTGTATATCAAATTCAAGCTTAGCACATAAGAAATGCTAAATTAGAATTAGAGTATATAAATATGCATTTTCAAGAAAAATATAGGTTACCTATTCAAAATTCTACCAAATTGTCCACATAAAGAGCCGTCATTTTTAAACTAATAAAAACTGTCAAATTCTGATTTCCCAAAAATGTTTGTATTAAGTAGTACTTTAAAATTATGTAGGATAAAATATAGCAACCTAATGTTTTACTGTATTTGGCAATTCTGAGATTTGAACTAGTGAAACTGTGGTTTTGGTACATTCTGTACTCAAAAACATTTGAAATATTTCAAAGTTATTCCTATGGGTCGGTTTAGTAGGAAACATTCCCATTTCATCAAATTTTGGGACCAACAGTTGGTTTAAAATCAGTGGACATCTTACGTGATTCACCCTGTATATTTCTGAATTTGAACGGATGGTGTTTTGCCTCTTGGGACATAAAAACGAAAAAGTACAGTGGTCCCGGGTCTAGGTCTTACCATGAGACCCACGGTAACAATTTATTCCCAATACGAATAATTTGCTAAAACTAAATATAACTTAGTTTAAGTTTCTTTAATTTTACACAAACACAATAGTTAACAATAACACTAACGCAGTATAACCAAACTAAAAATGAGTTATTTTAATAGAAAAAATATATTTAGGTTAAAATTACGGTAGGAAAGATAAAAATGTTATCACGACCCTTCACCTTATTCTAGAATGATTCATTGTTTTAGAAGCATTAAACCAAACAAAAAATTATTGTGTTAGATCCGTCATTCTCTAATAATGTAGTTATACAGTAGGGGCCTATAATGAGATAATGCCGCCATCGTGTAACTGAAGTTGGACGCAATATGTAACTGACTAAATTTTGTAAGTTATAATACAGTAGTGCAAACAGTTAAAGTTAACCTAACTTTGATTAGGTTATGTTTAACCAATAGTGAAAGGTTAAAACTAATTTAAAGAAGTTGAAAAATAATATTTTGCATCTAAATTATTTATTTTCCTTCTCTTCAGAATTTATTGACGAATCAGTTAACATTTAACCTGATCAATAACCTAAAATCATAATTTAATTGTAATTAGGACTACTAAAACAAATTATGAACAGGACATAATTTTCAGCATAAATAATCTATATAAATACCGTTTCAACAGTTTTCATATTGATTACGACAATCGAGTCTCGAATAAAAAGTATTGCATAAATATTACTTTTGGCACCAATCGTAAAATACAGCCTTTAAAAGAAACTTTCCTATAGACTCTAACTTGACCGGAAATAGATACTTTATGCTCAAATTACTTAATAAATTGCCGCCTTTTCTCAAAACAAACTCTCTGATTGGCGCAAATTAACCAATCAGGAGAGGCGTCGTTTACTTTGGGAAGGATGCTGAAAACTGGTAACGCAAAATGGCGGACATTCTTTCTAGAAAATAGGTAATAATGATCCTTGTATATTTCTGAAACAAAGCTAAAACTCGTCCCTTATATGAAATCAGTAGTTTAACTACTTCATTAGCCTTCCATTTACATCATATTTTCACAGTCAGATAATAGTTTTACAGCTAAAACCAAACAAAGTAAAATTGCCGGCGTACCTTAGCTCATGTGTAGGTGGATATAAAACTGCTTATTGAAGGTGATTCCATCACAAATACTCCACAATAATGAGCACATGACACTTTAAAATATGTTAGCCTATGATATTTAACATATTTAAGACTAAACACGTTTAAAACCAAAACATTTAACACTTAACACACACGATACACGAGAGTGTAACATTCCACAACATAAATCTTTCCAAACACAAAACTAACACTTTTCACTTCGAATTAATGTAATAAAATGGACACAAGACATTCCGAACACTTCGCACTAAATGTTAAACACATTATTAGCACAGAAAGTCACAAAATATTTATATAAACGCGAAAAACTTGAGTGCAAAAGAGTATGCAAAGGACCACCGAAAAGTGCGCGAAACCGGCAAAACTGAGGAAATTATTATACCATAGACATCGAAAACGGATAATGCATTACGATGTTACCACTCACAGCACTATATTAAAACTGAATAAATAAGGTATAATATTTAGCGATGATTATTATTGGAACCAGGTTTTATCGCTGGACGGTCTTATCGGGAGTCTGCGAATAATCAAACGTAGAATAAAAGACTACCTCTAGTTGGACGATAAAAAGTCTGTTTATCTTTTAACGTCTTTTATTTCTGATAGTGGATTGTCTCTCTCTATTGTCTCTCTCTATTATATCTCTCTATTATCTCTCTCTATTCCGTGGATTCTAAACGCATACATTTATTGTGTACGTTTCCTACACACAATAAACTTCCGCATTTAGATTATAAGCTTTTTAGGATTTATTTTAAAGGAATACACATTTTGAAATAAAATGCATTCTGATGACAGCTTATTATTGAAGAACGTGTGGAAGTAGTAAATGTTCTACTAAAGTAATTACAATGCGTGTGTAACTAGAGGAAAGACCAGGGCTTTGGGAATCGTGAAGTATTTAATAGTTTGAAACACATAAATAACAAATAAAACTCATGAAGTAAAACGTAAATTAGATAAAAGCAATATTAAAAATTCAGTTTTCAATTTCATTAATCAATAGAATTTCTTTTAATTCTTCTGGATTTAAACACAATTGAAAATCAACCGAGGATCTTTATATCCATCCTAAAATCACATACCTGATTTACTAAATTAATTTAGAAGAAGTGATGGGATTGTTCAAATAACATTTTTACTCCAATTCTCTAATTAATATTATAATTAGAGTCAATGTTCCAATACAAATGTTTACCCTTAATTGGCGTTATATTATGTTATATTATTTTCTCTTATATTTATATTTGAACCATAGTAAAGCCAAAATAACCATTAATATAAATTTGTTTTTTTAATGCTAGTACGGTATTGATTTTTTGTTATTTATCATTTTCCTAGTTTTTATTTGGTTGCCGGTTTTATTATTTGCCTGTTAGATAAAAGAAGGCTATAAAAAGGTTCCAGTTGATGGTTTTTGGTCTTCCGCTTTAATTTTAACAAACTGGGTTTGCAATGAGCTCTAAAGCAATCACCTTCAAGTTTATTGAAAGTCGATACTGTACTTTTGTAACTGGTTTAATGCATTTTTATTAAAATTCAATCTGGTAAGCTTTCCACCACGTTGTTCAATACAATCGGTTCACTTAAAATTCGAATCTCCCGCTCTTTTGTCAACACTGCTGGTATGACGACGTGAGGGGTTTCACAGCTCCTAATTCCATAACTCACTACCCTCCCACTAGGCCTACATCGAAAGTATGGGATTAAGTGGCCATGGATTATTATGGCCCCAAGGTCGACTCTATGAGGCAAAATATAAACAATTTCTGTTTTGGGATGTTGATCTTATGGGAATATTGGTGTGTATAGTAGACGCTATGGTACGTAGGTAAAGGTGGCCGTGCTTGGTACCACGACCACCTTTAACTCCTAAAGGTAAGGTGGCCGTGATGGTACATGGTACACGAAATTACAGATTATCTAGTTAATTCTAGATCTACCATTGACTTAGAAATATTCAATGATCAATATTCCATCAATCTTTTTTACTATCTTTAGTCACACGCTTACATCAAGGCGGCTACCCGACCGTGCTCATTACTTTATTTGTTTGTCTTTGTAGTTTGTACGAATTGTAAACGTAAAGTCAAAAGTCAAGCCAAGTCAAACATAACCTATTTAATCGTGTAATCGTAATTTTACTAATTTTGTGTTCTGTTTCTGTATGACTTGACTTCTGAATTCCAAATTCTTGTATGCACTAGCTATGTGCATCGTTGTTTTAAGTTTTATTATCAATACACAAACCAATTTATAACTCTATAAGCAAAATTTTAACCTTTAGGTAACAGGTAAAGCATAAAAGTAGGCTAGGTTCATTAGAGATTAACGTAGGTTTGACTTGCTTTTTGTATAGGCCTGAAGATATGTATAGATAGTCCTATAACAAGACGGTTGTATCCTTCTCTAGTTAAGTTTTTATGCCCTTTTAATTTCTAATTACAGTACTAGGTAGGCCTAAGTTATCACTCATACTAGTAGTCCAAACATAATATAATAATAGGCCTACATTTATTTCTAAACTTACCTAAATATAGGCTTACCTAGAATTTGTTTACTTTAGAGTCTCTAAATGAATTTTGAATTTCTTATTAACTTCAGCCCATCTTGAACACCTTGTAGGCCTACATATTTAATTTAGGCCTAGGTCCTTGTTTTAACCAATCTTTTTGGTTATCGACCTAAGCCCGGTCCTGTGACGATAGGCTTAGGTAAAGAGAGGGTTTACTGTAGGCCTAACTTAAGTTTTCATTAACAAATATTTCCATTCATAGCTGGAGGAATGGCGTCGTTTGACTCTTATTGGGATGTGGACAAGTATAAGAATGAGTTTGAGTCGAGTGAGCACTGGGAGCTTCGTCGTCAGTTTATGGTCGCCCACAAACACAAGTACCCGGAACTGCGGCTAGTCTGTCTGACGCAAGTCTTCTTCAACATGGAGTTCCTGGGCTGCAAGTCAGTATAGATAGAATTAGACTATAACTTAAAGAAGCATTTACTATTGGTTGGATACTGAAGTAGGCCTAGACATCTCATCTATATGGAGCAGTTGTTACCAAATTCTTTTGTTAAAAAACAAACATTAACAACAATTAAATTTAAATAGTTGTGTGAGCCAGTCACAGAATATGCGCTCTGTCTAAATTTCTATTTTCTACCTAATATTTTAGTTGCTAAGCAGGTTGATGGGTCATAACAGTTCCAAAACATCATTCCATTGGTTTGACTTGGCAACATTTGTTGTGTATTTGAAAGAAATTAAGTTAACTCAGTGGCCTAATTTAGATCAGCACCATCTGTAGGCGCCTCACATCGACTACGATGGTTTTGATTGAAAAAAAAAGACTGGCAACAACTTTAAAATTGGAATGGAATGTCTAGTTGCATCAATGACAGAACTAATGTAAACAAAATATTCATAACGTTATTTATTAGCCTCTAGGTAGGCCTAGCCTAGTTAGAGAATGAAACAGTAGTTCAGTTGAGCCAATAGATTGTTCTGAGGTAGGGCCTAAATGACTTAAAATTTTTAGGCTATTTCTATCATAATGATTACCAAGCCACACTAAAAGGACGACCTGTTGTAAACTGTAGCATCCTTGATGTCACATCAAGTTAGCCTACAACAGTAAACAAATTTATGGAGAAAATATAGCCTAATCTAAGACTACAATAAACTCTGTGAGTGGTTGATTAAACCTTGTTAAATTAAAGAATATCTGGATTTTAATTGCTTTAATACTTAAAATTTGACAAAAAACATTTTATTTCCTGTTTCACAATCATTCTTAATGTGTTTTCTGCCATTTTCCTATACAGGTATCCCCAAAAAACTATGGATCTGGTGAACAAATTGGCTGGAGAAGTGGCAGGAGAATTCCGTGAATCTCGTAAGGATAAATTAAAGCGAACGTTTGTTGGCGCCCAAGATGCAGCGGGAGCCAAGGCTAAAGGTATGTTTGTATCTCCTAAGATCAACACAATTATTTGCTATTGGATGTAGCCTGTTGTGCTTGCTAGGCCCAATTTTAAGAGTTGGCCTATGCTTATTGCTTGTTTAGTTACTGGCATCATTGACTATGCACTATGGAAACAGCTGCTTGCATTTTAATAATAGGTACCTATTTATAGTGTTAAGCCAACGAATACAAACCCTTTTAGAAGTGAAATGCTTATGGAGAATAGTCAGACTGGAATTTTGCCGTCGAAATGAGCGTCGTACGGCCGCTGCTATGGTTGCTTGTGAGGCTGCCGCGCTATTCTATCCCTCTCACTCTATCTAAGCCAATTCTTTGTCTTTCTCTCTCTTTTATTCAGTCAGCTGACTTGGCCGTGACAGTCTACCTAGCGGCTGCCGCGGGAACTGTCAAAAAATAAAATATTTCCAGACTGTAAATAAGCAGTCTGGAGATAATGCAAATTAATAGGCCTAACTCAGTTTATAGGTACCCTAAAATTTTTTTCTTAACCTATCCTAACTTTAAAAAGGCTTAATAAAGTCACAAATCCTAATTAAGTGCGATCTACCTTCCTCACATGGCTAAGTAGGAATTGTATTGTAATCTTTCTATTTGTATGTATAATCTCATTTAATGAATCTTTTTTTTCATCATATAGACTTTTATAAAGCCTCTCCTAACCTCTCGTTCTCGTCCAACCCGCTACAGTATTGGAATGATCCACACCTTCTTCGTTGCTAGAACTTTGGACTCACCCAAACCACCATTCCAACTGTTTAATGAATATCATATTTTAGTTTTTTTTTTTTTTCGGACAGTTAGGACTTTCTGTTGAAAACTGATTGCACTTCAGTATGAATATCACTGCTGTAAGTAGATGGACCCCCACACAGAAATTAAATTATTTATAATTGGTGAAACTATATTCAAACTTTACCAATAGGCCAGTTGAATAGGGTACCTACCTACTGTTTAGACGTTGTATAGGTAATAGGTACTGTTGCAACCAATGGGACTACTATTCTCCATGTTCAAAGCAACACACAATTTACTTGTAATCAAGGATGTTTGTACCAACTAATCTTACTTGTGTTCAACTCAGGAGCAAAACCGCCGACTGGAGTAGTTGAAGGCTCTGTGACAGACGGACCAGCAGTGAAGAAGCCTCGTGTTGAAGAGCAAGATATTCCGTGCATTGAAATAAAAGATGAAGAAGAAGAGGAAAATGTTGCCACAACTTCAAACGACAGCATTGATGGTACAATATGTTTCAATTACACTAGAACACTATAATATGTTTCAATTACAGTAGAACACCTACCTTTCAGGAATCTCAGGACTGGGCCCTTGTATGAGCTAAAGAAATTCTGAACATAAGATAATGGATCGATACTTAAGCCTACATGAATGACTGATACTTTTTAAAACCACATCATTTGTGTGAAATTAGTTAACTACAGAACCAAATTAAACATTAAATTTATACAACAATAATAAGTATCTGTCGGTCCTTTAGCACCAAAAAAATCTTGTGACTTGCTAAAGTGGCTATTGACACCGTTAGTGTGATTCTTGGCTGTCCAAACTAAATTAATCGTAACCAGAAAAAATCTACGGTACTGTAGTAAATTTACAAAATTAGTGTTCCTGCACTGCCATGTACAAATATTTGGTAGTGTAGTGATAGTAGGCTTCATATATATTTAGTACAGGGTGGAGCTGGTCTAGTGGTAAAACGCGGGGCTTAAGAACCTGAGGTTCCAGGTTCAAATCCCGCCATTCACTGATGGATTTTATCCATATGATAATGCCTTGACCCTCTAGATCTAATCTGAAGTAATGAGTAAGAACAGCTCCTAGGATGTGAAGGACAAAAAATATATATTGTTTGTATTTGGATGGCCAGTTATTCAAACATCCATGGAGTAAAAATAAAAGGAAACATTCCATATGATTTTTCAACGCTTTGAATTTTCTACATTCGATCCATTTACTTTTAAGTTCAGGTTTTTTTCTTTGAAGTGCCTGCTATTCCTTCCGTCAATACAAAACATCACCACTTTTTGCTGTTGACAATGTGATGTTTGCTGTTCAACTTGTGATATTTTTGACTATGCTCAAAGTTTTTCCTACAGTTACCTAACAATGTACATGTTCTCTCACTGATTTGAGAAAGCAAAGTGGCCAATTCACTCATCAGTGAGACAATGTTAACATTGTCTCACTCTAATTACTTTGTCTCACTCCAGATTTGCAACGTGAAGTATACGAGTGCAAGGTCGTATGCGTGCAAAATACGTCAGCTGTTGTACCGTTGTATCATTAAATGTCATATTAAAAGTTCACTTTTGTGTAAAACATGTCACATTTCTTTACCAATTTATTTGTTTTATGGTAACTGTAGGAAAAATATAATGTGCAACTCGAGTGCAAAGTGCAATTACCTCACTCGAGAAACCATTCCTCACTCGCCTACGGCTCGTGAATAAGTATTTCTCTCGAGTGAGTCAGTTGCTCCCTTTGCTCACTAGTTGCACAAATAACTATTGTTTGTACTTTTAGGATGAGTAAAATGTTTTGGTTCTATTTGTTGTTTCGACGTGTTAAGCCGGGTTTTCCTAGACGCGGAAAAGCGATTAACATGGCATTCTGCTCTGCTTCTAGGAAAACAGTAGGCCCTAACATTAAATTACCTAAGATAAGAAGAGTCCGCTCTCCGCGTTCCTCTCTCCGCCCTCCACTTCTGCGTCTAGGAAAACCCAGCTCAACATTTGTCAATATTGCAGTTCCACTATTGCAATACATTTTTACAACCAGTGTTGTTGATTTGTAATTTTACCAAATATATTTCTTCAGGTATAGAAAAATACGCTGAGGCCGTTAAGGAAGTTGCAAAGACGTGCGTGCTTCTTTTCCCCACACGCACCAACAGTAAGACGGAAACTGATCCAATGAATATTATTCACGCTAACTTCCATCACTCTCAGATAACGATTCGCTTCGAAGGCACCAAGTAAGTGATAAAGTAGTACTAATGTATTTGCAACCTATACATTAACTTTCATCTTGCTTTTTATTTTATTTTTATAAAAATGTAGGCCTAAAAAGCATTTGATTTGTAAAAACACTTAAATATGGTTTCCTTTTCAACAAGAACAATACATAATATACATAAGCCTACCTGCTCTACTGCAGATAATTTCTGTTGTCTAGCTAATTTTCCAATTGAATTGAATTTTTATTGTGATTTTTGGTCAATCTTGGTGATTGACTATCCCATTAGACTCAAACACTTAACCTGTAGATAAGCAGGAATCTATGTTAGTTTTAAATTGACTTGTATGTTTATTAGTTTTTTGTATTGATTAATTGATCTCTATACTGATATTTGTTTCAGAGCCGAAGGTTTCAGGTGTGACATCTTGGTAAACCCGAACCCTGACGCAGCAAAGGACAAGAAGTCAAAGGCCTCTGATAGTCTGCTTGTAGGTTCTGCGTTTGGCTCCACGCAACGCCAGGGCAAATACGACGCTGCCCAGAAGGCAATTAACTATATGAAGCAATACTGTACTTACATTGTGGTAAGAGATTTTACAAGGTGGTTTTAAAGTGTGAATAGACTTTCAGAATCTTTTTTCGAAAGCTTAGGTTTTTTTTTGAACTAGTTAACTACACTAGAGAGTCGATTGTTAGAAAAAATTGTGGAATGGGGTGTTCGGATAGGCCTAAGTGATTTTTCGTGTAAGCAGTCATTGATGGGAAAAGTGACATTATTTAAAGTTTATTTTATATAATTTCAATTTATCATCTAATTTTTACTGGTATTTAGCAGTTTTCCTATGTAAACTCCCATCTTCACCGTTGATCACAAAGCACAAATTTTGTGATAGTTTCAATTTAAGGTATCTAGGTATCGTTGCTTTTCTTACTGTCCGTTGCAATATTACCGAGCTTATCTCTCTATTTGTACCTTTTCCCTCCAATATTTCAAATTTGTCAGAAACAATTTAGTCCTTGACGTTAACTGATCATATTATCAGTTAGAATAACACAAAAGAATAGTGCACAAAATGACGACTGTCCATAACTTGTGGTAATTGTAAGGCTAGGTTTTGATTTTTTTGTTTTTCCATCCTGAGTCAACTGACACTTAAGATGACTGGGCTCTGGATGAATAAGGTTCTACTGTATCTGTACTCAGGATAGAGCATACTGTATTTTGATTTACAATTTCATTTGTTAGGTTTTGGGTCAATTCTACTACATCAATAACGGATAGTTCAATCTTACTTTGCAGAGGAAACGGATTTATAATCGTTTAATGATTTACCAATAAATAATAAAAATAAAGTTACCTGGTACAATTATTTGTCTAATCTATTACTAGGATGGTTTTTTAAATGTTTAGCTTATTTGGAAAAAAATGAGTCCGGTGGTTTATAAATACGCAGAAACTCTGATATTGTTGTCCTAATAAAGGACTTTTTCAGAGATTAGATTGAGGAGAAATATTTTCTGTATGTTTTATTTTTATTTACTTGTTACAGCCAAACCCGGAGTGGTTTAAGGAAGGAGGTACCCCAGATTTCATTGAGAAAAGAATACCATGCAGCAAAACTCCTCGTACTTATTTGTAAGTACTTTTTGTACTCATTCTGACAAAAATTTAGTAGGTATCCCAAAATAAATAAAAACCTTCACCCTCACATTAACTTTTTTAATCATACAATAACTATCTTACTTAAGGATTCATAAATTTTTTACAAATCTACATTACTATCTGAACTGAGTGGGAGCAGTTTAATACGAGGCATGTTTTTTAAGTAAGTACCGTTTTTAAATTTCTCCGTTGCAGTGCTGCGATTGGCATTTTGGACACTTTCGCTGAATATGTGTATCTATTGGCAAGCCCTAGCCGGAAATTCGACAAAAATCGGCCGTGTTTACATCCGGTATCAAGCATTCAAAATGGTGCCGCCAATTGAGACTGCCGCCAACTGTGAAGTGCGCGCTGTAATTAGAGTTTTAAGTGCTAAAGGTGTGAAAGCCATTGAAATTTATCGACAGATTAGTGAGGTGTATGGCGAGAACATTTATGAGTGACGGAATGGTACGCAAGTCGGTAAGGGCATCTAAAGACGGCCCCACCACAGTCCATCATGAGCAACCATTAAATGTACCATTCCGTCACTCATAAATGTTCTCGCCATACACCTCACTAAGCTGTTGACAAATTTCAATGGCTTTCGCACCTTTAGAACATAAAAATCTAATTACAGCGCGCACTTCACAGTCGGCGGCAGTCTCAATTGGCGGCACCATTTTGAATGCACGATACCGGATGTAAACACGGCCGATTGTTGTCGAATTTCTGGCTAGGGCTTGCCAATAGATGCACATATACAGCGCAAATGTCCAAAATGCCAATCGCAGCGCTGGAACGGAGAAGTTTAAAAACGGTACTTACTTAAAAAACATGCCTCGTACTATACTCAGATGTTATGACTCCTGGAATACTACCCTCTGGATAATTTTCCTCTCAAACAAGTTTCTTTATCATAATCTCGGGGAGTAGTTTACTAATCTTGGATACAAATTACTTTGCAGTAGAGACAAGTTGTTTGATAAGATTCAATTTGAACAAAGTAGATTTGCTCAAGTCTGCCATTTCTTCACTTAATTGTTAGTTCTAAAATTAACTGTCGAGACAGTAGTAACTAAGGGTGAGAGGAACAGACTGATCCGACAGCCCGAGGTAAAAAAATCTAGTGTTCCCTTTTATTGTATTTGGATCTTTATGCCATATAGAATTATGATGTAGTGCCACACGGTATCTGATTAAATAACAGTATGGTAGAACTCTGAGTATCCAATAAATAGGCACTGCACAATATTTGGATGATTAGATTTTTTGCTGAAATTTCGAGTATTAAAAAAATAGGTTGATTTCACGATCAAAAAATTCACGCTTTTGCTGCTATTGCAGAGGTCAATGATGATTTTTCCTGACTACGAAAGATGTTCAAGGTTTTACCGCGACCCCGGGAAAAATAATATTTCCGTTACTGCGGGAGACGATGATGATGTTTCCGAGATCATGGGAGACAAAGATGAGGTTTTCAAATAACAATTCTCTGTTATTTTGTGCATCTTCTTACTGCAGTTTTAATATTTTTAAATTTTTTAGGTAATTTAAATAATCTGCAATTTGGATGGTAGGAGCATTATTGGAGTTGTACGGTAATTTAATAAGAAATCTCTGGGTTTCAAAGTCTTATTTCTTTCTCTATCACTTCTTAACACCGTTGAACTTTACAGGATCATGAGGAAGGAAGACACTGGCCACATCAGTCCAGAAGTCGCTGATCTTTTGTTGGAAAATTTCAAACGCAGCTCCAACCAAGACATGTTCTTTCCCGATGTAGAATACCTTGAGAAAGAGAAGATCCAGCTCATGAAGTAAGTCTTACCTAAAAATTTAGTTTTTAACTGATTTCTACTACTTTGTACGTGAAGTTTTTAGGAGAAACATTCTTCTTTCTTTGCTTATGGATTTGTTTAAAAAGGCTAATAGACCTAGGCTATTTAAGATAGGCTCCATACAGCTGGGTTGTTTCAAATTATCAGCATACATTGGACATACTGTTAGAAAGATTGGCGAAGACAAATTTTTGTGTTTTCTGCCTAAGATATTTTCTGGTTTAAAGTTTGTTTTGATGTTTACCTAAACTAAGTAATTTATGAATTTTTGCTCTACTTGTACACTTGTACTAGTCAAAGAGTAAAAATAACTAGAAATAGAAATCCAATTGTACTTCCTAATGGCATTAATCAGAATAAACTACAATATATAAATCTGCAATCATGACCAAAGGGTAATGCACACCCTTAATAATTTATCTACAATAAGAAGATAAAATTCTATTGGCATCGGCACACTCAAAAATGTTTTTAGACTTATGAAAAGAGGCTGCAGATTTTATACAGTCAAAAGTCTAATAGCAGTATTCAAAGTTGGTTAAAAAATGCATCAGTCATTGGGAAGATTTTAATCCAAGCTCTGAGAAAGTAGTCTTGTCATTTACTAGACAGGGTGTTTCAACAAACTAAATTTTATAAACTGTGTGTTAATCCGTCCCAAAAATGTGCATACAATTGTTAGCTGAATTTCCACCAATCTCATATTTTTTCAACTTGAGTAAATTCTGAATATATTTGTGTTGGGTTTTTACCAATATTTTTAATTGTAGCCGAAGTGCAAAACACCGATTGGGTTTCCGTCACTTTGGTCCCAAACAGATGATGAAGCACCATCATGTCTGTATCTTCAAGGAAAAAACAGGCAAAGAGATCATCGAAGAGGCGAAGCAAATGGGTGGGAAACATCCTAAGTATATAATCCACTACAAGAAATGATCAGGTATAGAATACATACGCATTACTTTGGTTTACATTTTTTAAATGCTCAGATTAAAATTGTGTGAAACATATACCTAACATTTCAGTTTATTTTCTTTAAAAGTTCTTAATACTGAGTGCAGCAAAAAACCCGATCCATTTTCTGCAGAGCACTGTTCAGCGACAGGTCGTCCGAGAGTGGTGGGAGTAGGCTCGTTGGAAAGACCACACAATGCCATTTTTTGTAGTCATAGAGCAGTAGTGCGGTTGTTATGGAGTCGTTTTCATAAAATAGTGAATTCATTCATTGCTACTCAGCGGCAGTTTCATGCATTCTTTCAATCAAGGCGACATGGGGAAGTTCCGTTGCGTAGCACAATAATGCGGTGGGCTCCTTACTTGGGAACAACGGCTTCTGCGTTGAAAAGGAATCTGACAGGCCTTCCAAAGTCAGATCGGACGCCAGACAACAAACATTCGATAGAGTTTGAGCTGCTGTGGAAAACAGTCCTCGTAGGCCAGCCCGAAAACAAGCGGCTACCTTGAACATGTCTGACCGCTCAGTTATACAAATTTTGAGGTTAATTTTCATCCCTATGGACACAGAAAACGTACTACTATAACCCAGAATGCCAACCGCATGGTAAAAAGCATTAAGCGTTTTGAGAGAGCTTTGCCTGTCAATCCGAAGGCAGCGCCACCAGCGTCGCATGCAATAGCATAGCAACGCTGGTGGTGCTGCCTACGGATTGACAGGCAAAGCTCTCTCAAAACGCTTAATGCTTTTTACGATGCGGTTGGCATTCTGGGTTATAGTAGTACGTTTTCTGTGCTATGGATTAGAATAATAATTTGGTAATCATCCATTCAGATAATCACGACGGAACCTCTCTATGTCGACCTAATTAAATAATACCCCCGCCGCAGCAAACCTGCAGACTAAGCGAATTTCCATTTGCCTGATTGGATTTAGACTAAAATGTCTCCTTAAAAATATCACATTTATTCCCTATTTAAATAGAATCAGTTTAACACATATTTAGGTTTGCTGCAACAGGGAGGGTAAAAGTGTTTTTTTATGTAAAATGTTAATAGTTAGTAAGAAATAAAAACATTTTCCAAATTTGGGCAAAATATGTTAATAAACAAGCACACTACAACGGTTTACTTATTCTCCATAAGAATAACATAGGAATTTTAAATTAACAATTTTTTGGAATTTTCTCCGTAACCATTAGGCGCATTATAACGCTTCAATATACTAAATTATTCGTTTTTTTAAGCTCTACAAAATAGTTTGGAAAGAAATTTAAGAATTTAATGTTTTTTTGGTCAAAAATAGGAAAAACCCATTTTTACCCCATAAACCCCTGTTCCCATGGTCCGATCATGCTGGTTCGCGAACTCGTTCGAATAAACGTAGGTTTACACGTTTGTACCAAATTTCATCTAAATCGGATCATTTTTGATTGAGTTATCGCGCTAACGGACACATATATATATATATATATATGAATTTGAACGGATAGTGTTTTTGGCCTCTAGGGACCTCAAAACGAAAAAAAAAATCGGTCCCGGGTCCAGGTCTTACCATGAGTACTACGGTTTAATAGCTTATTCCCTATATGGGAAATTCGCTAAAAGCACGGAACTGCCACTGAGTTGCAATGACTAAATCATTACTTTTTAAAAACGACTCGATAACAACCGCACGTAGCTCATACGACCACTGCTCTATGCCTACAAAAAATGGCATTGAATAGGCTTTCCAACTAGCCTACTCCCACCACCCTCAGATGACCTGTCGCTGAACAGTGCGCTGCAGAAAATGGATCGGTTTTTTTGCAGCACCCTGGATAACTTTTTGACGATGTAGAAAAACTCACTCTGTTAATTCATAACGAACTACTGAGCGATTTTAATTTTTAACTTAAAGAGTGGTTTTTTGCCTATTATTTTACTTTTCATTGATTATGTAAAATAAACCAAGTAGCAGGTTGGGAATTATTATAAAAAGGGGTAGAGTTCAACTAACTGTGTGTTCAGCTAAGTGTGTGAAAAATATCTATGGGTTAATAGGGACACAAATAAATAATCACAAAACAATATTGGTATTTCACCCTAATATAGGTATTCTTTAGAGAGAAGATCGAAGATGTTCTATCTCTGAATAAGGTAATGGGACAAAGTATCGGTATTGTTTTGAGATATTTTTATTTCTGTATCTATTAGCTCTTGGACTCAATTTTTCAAGCAGACCAAACTCAATCCTTTTACATTTCATAGATATTTAAAGCTTTCTGAAAAGAAAATCATCGACCTAATTACACTTGAAATTGTGAGTTTTTTTTTGCAATACTACTAAATCCTATTCTATCCTTGGTTGTTTTATTTCAGGGTAAAACTCCTTCGAAGAATCCAATCAATACGAGGAGTCCAAAGGATAAATTTATAAATAGTTTAATATTAAAACAACACATGTTTGTATGATCACCATAAAGTTTGTTTATCAAGTCAAGTTATACAAGTCGAAGGTTTAAACTTAAACATACAGTACTACTGACATTTTATTGCCTTTTATCATTCAGTTTGATAAAGGTATCTCTAAATCTTAAGTGTGATTTTTTCCATCGATAATTTGGAGAAAAATAATACCAATCTCCACAGTTTTGCAGTTGGTTTGCTAATAAGAGCATTGGGTCTTAAATGCAGGGTTGAATCTTTGAAACCAACATTATGAATAGTAAAAACAAGTCTCCATCAATTCCATGGTTGTATTGTACATAATATATTATATTTATCTTGTTCTTAATATCTAGTGTACATATTTGTCAATTTTATATCAACGTGTGACTTCTGTTTATGATTTTCATTTTATTTTTAATCCCTATGATATCGTAGTGAATCAAAACTTGCATAACCAACAAACAAACCCAACAAAAAATTTTTCCTACTGTCACCCGACAAAGTTGGCTTCCTTGTACTGTTTATAGTACAGAAAGCTGCTAATTGCTGCATATTTATACTTTGTCGTACGGTTTATACTTTGTCGTACGATTTATACTTTGGCGCACATCAGGATTCCAACAAAACAACACAAAACAGTGTGGTTCTATTATGCACGTAATCCGTGTACGCTTGGAAATAGGTTGGCAACACTTTAAGATAATAATACTATGAGCAGCTGATTGACTATTATAACTACCACGATTTAACCTGTCATTTCTTGTTTATAGTTTATGTTCTCTTTTCGGTATTTCTGAACTTTTCTTTTAAAGGTTTTTTTTTAACATTCCTACAATCTTAATAAACAAGAAAATACCTTTAAAGCATTTTTTAGGCGCGGAAACCACTGCAAATTACAAAAATATCCGGAACTATTTTCTCAAGTCGCAGAGCACATTGCTTGCCGAGGAAAAAATAGCGGAGTAATACGGACCGGGTACTACTTTCTCTAGGGCACCTATTTGTGTTGCCAGCTGAACCTAAAAACGTGTTGTATAGTGTTTGAAAGACTAATTATTTATATGCTTTATAGTGACTGTAGGAAAAATATAATGTGTAACACGAGTGCAAAAGGTCTTTGCTGCACTCGAGATCATTCCGCACTCGCCGCTTTCGTATGCAGCAAAGTGCCACTTTGCTCACTAGTTACCCAAATAACTATATAACGTTATGTAAATAGCATTTATCACCTATAAATTGTGTGCTGCAAAATACTTTCAATTTTAGTATCTAATTATTTAGATATACTTTTACAATAGAATTTGTATATTTTTGTGAAATCATAATATAAAATTATGATTATTAAATGACTGATTGGTGGAAATGACTAAGTCAAATTATTTTATTATCTCCTCCCTAAAGCCGGGTTTTCCTAGGCGCGTAGTCGGCGAGCGGAGAGAGGAACGCGGAGAGCGGACTCCGCTTGTCTTAGGCAATTTAATGTTACTGTTTTCCTAGAAGCAGAGCGGAATGCCATGTTAATTTCAATTCCGCTCTCCGCGTTCCTCTCTCCGCTCGCCGACTCCGCGCCTAGGAAAACCCGACTTTAGAAATGTCGATTCTAGCTTTATTTGTGAAGGGTTTTGTAAGGATAGATAGATTTGATTAGGTTTGTAAGAACCAAGAAAATATGTTTATAATCTTTATTATTTATTATTTGTCATGATATTACAAACAACAATAACAATGGTAAAATAACATTATATTACATGGTACTTACAATGTTCTAAATTAAAATGTAGAAATGTTTAACATCATATTTACACGGTTCAGTAAAAATATTACCCTATTTATAATACCCCTACTATGTTACAAAATGAAATTAAATTCTCAAAAAGATAACAATGGTAAAATATTTACAACTATACTCTTAAATGCAGTTTAAATTGTACTTGCTTGGCGATATCCCTTCGTATTTTAGTAACAATTAGTTTCTTAAGTTCAAAAAGGTGTGGTGGAATTAATTTTGAGAAATAAACAATTGGATAGTAGCTTCTCTTCTGTAACAAAAATTTACTAAAACTGTCGTTAACTACAAACACACTAAATTATTATAATTTATTGCTTTATTAAAAACCACAAAACATGATCACTCTGCTCAACTGGTTTACACTGCTATGAAAGCAATCCTAGTTATTTTAGTAATCAAATTTCAATTATTGAAATACTAATTAATTGTTATGAATACATCCATAGTGCTCTTATTAAAGGCCTGTATAGTGTGTGTATAGTGCCTTCTATTTTGCCTTTTTGGATGAAAACATGGTCTGATTTTTGGGTTAACAGTTGTGTTACTCAGCTACAAATATACCATGGCCAGAATCATCTTGTTCTTACCCAATGAAGCACATTGTTTCTATGTGTCTCCCTACTCACAATAAGTGGTCTAGTAGTTATTATTAACTTTTACGAGTCCAAATACATCTTAAATTTTTCAAAGTGAAAATACATCGAGTGATTTCAGGATAAAACATAACCTAACCAAGACCATTTTACTGTGGTAATATCATCCACAGTAAAATGTATCATAAATTGACTGCAATTTGCTTAGATTTATTTTTATGCTTAGATTCGTTAGATCTAAATAGTTTCCTGATAAAGTCAGATGGCGACTTAGACTTCTTTTTCTTTGTTTTCTCCGGGAGGCTAAGTGTACTGGAGCTGAATGCGAGGGAATTGTTGAGGGAAGTGGTTGAACAATACTTGAAGCTTTCTTTGACTTCCACTTCGTCTGTTTTACACTTGATAGTTTCAGAGGTGTATTGTGAAGGTTGTGGCTGATGTGGAATTTTAGGTTCAATTTCTTTCAGACGTTTGTACTCATTAGACTTCAGTTCTCTGATGGTGACTGAGGAAGGCCTGTAACAAACATTTTATCAATAACACTAAATAATTAATTGTGTTGGCACAATAAAGGCATATTTATAATTTTAATTTACACAATGTACAGCTGAAATGACCTTTAAATTGAAAATGCAAAGAGAAAATGTACAGTTTACTGAAATAACACTTTTAGGGAAAGCGGTCAAAACTCATAGAAGTTATGGATGTGCCGGGGATCGAACCCGTCCCTCCTGCACCAAAGTCTAAGACGCTAAACACTATTCTAGCAACACACCCTTACGGTTTGCTTCATTGTTCATTGTACTTTAAGAAACAAATAGAGTTTAAATTTTCCCAAAAGTCAAGTTTTGATGAAGCAGTTTTTTAATTTTGAACCTGGAATAACCTTTGAACTTTATTTCCATAGAACACTGCCTCACTGCCTGGTTTTTGTTGCTATGACCATTGATGTGACATAACACTCACACTCTTGTAACATTATAACTCACAGTTAAAAAGTGGCGTATGTAAATTAGTTTACTAACTCCATCACTGACCTGACAGTAGACAGCTGAGGCTTGACGACCGAATCCCGCAGTCTCTCCCAGAATTTGTAGTCTCTTTGATTCGCTCTGTTGTAGTCTAGTTTGTACATCATCCTGATCTCCTGCGGCAGTTCCACGTTCACACTCTCAAACAAGCAGGGAATGATGATCCTCGTTCTGTTCTCTGGCGACAGCAAAGGTTTGTTAGTAATTCCACTCACAGGGCTGCGGAATTGTGAATGTTGTGCGAATGTTTAATCACGGGTGCCCATCCCCCCCTAGACTCATGACGCACCCCCCCCCCCCAATTGAGCAACAGCCCCCCCCCCACCATAAATGAGGTACACAACAAATGAGAAACATTATTCCACCGCCCAGTACTATTTATAAAAAAAGAAGTTTTATACATTTTTTTAGATATTAAAAATTCAAACCCAGTTAATCTATATAAATAAAGTTATAGTTGTGTCTGTACATTGCTCAGAATTATACATATTTTGGGTAATTTTTACGTTTTATACATTGAAGAAGTTGAAAAATGTCTTATCTCAATTTATGTCCGTCTGTCACGGCCCAGAAGGCATTTTACGCATCCTACTCCAAAGAAAACTAGAGTATCGATTTAATTGTATTCACAGGATTGGCGAGAGTGTCCTTAGCCATTAAAATATGGCCTCACTATTTTGGAAAATTAAATAACGGACGATCAAAAACCCAATTTTGTGTGATTTTTATAGCTTTTTTCTCCATGTTTAGGCCTACTACATACGTCATTTATGGAATACTAATAATCTGTTAAGAGAACACGTAATATATGAAATTACGAACAGCTGTTTTGATAAAGATTCCTTTTTCTAGCTGGCACTGATATGTTTACATAATTGTTGTTGACGAATACTGTGTAGGCCCTAACCATTTCCGATCACGTTTGTTGTAACCATTTCCGATCACGTTTATAAGCAAATCCAAAACCAAGTGAGATTAATAATTGTGTGGCTTTGGCTTACATAACGGGTTTGATTTATCACGGGTACTAATATGTAACTGTAAATTAAATTAAATAACTAACCATCGTCCAGGTCGGGAACCAGAGATTCTGTGTGTATCAATTTGGAAACATCACAGTTCTTTTGATGAAAATGAAAATGAAATGGAAACGCTTGCGCCAACAATCGTCTGCTCCGTTTTACACTTCTGTCTGCTGTGCGCTATGTTACAACAGATTTCAGATACAACAGCTGAGGAATGATGACGATATAATGCTTAGTAAACTGTTGATTGAGTGATTAGTAACCATGGTATCTTTAGTACGGCTGTGATTGGTCAAAGAGTAGGCCTAAATATGGCGACTTGTTGAATTTGTGTATGAATTGAAGAGAAACCTAATAAAGAACGGAAGAACAAAGAAAAAGAATAACATGATTGTTCTCGTTACATTCTTTTTTAAGAGTGTTTTTATTATCTCTAAATATAATTTTACACTTTTTTATTACTCATCTAATTCCTATGCTGTGATACAGCACCTACCGGTAGCCTATCTGTCTATCATGAGCAGTATGTTATAACACTTCTTAAAGGTTCCTTTAATATTTACGTTATTTATAGCAATGCAGTGTTTGGCTAGTTATTAGTTGAGTTTGAGTTAGCTATAATTTTAAACGTTGCCGTTTGTACAACTGAACCACGATAAATGATTTTAAATGTACAATAATAATGTTATTGCACAATAATAATGATTGTGCAATATTGAATTTCGTTTATAAAAATACAAATCGTGACGTTAATGGCTGTTTACAGCGTTTTAATGGGTTGTCATCTATTTTTATACTATATTGGATTAACCGTATTTGTCATTACCCCATTACCCCCCCCCCCCTCCCTATTAACTCAGGTAATCGAGTTAAACAAAAGTGTAAAGTATTGTAGCCTATGCTACTTGATTGTATTTAAACGAGCTTTATGTCAACAAAGTGTTCTGTGCTAAGTCGTGGTGTAGCTGGACGTGTCTGTACCACACGTTATCTTTTATCTATCACAGCAGTTGAGCCATGCGTCCCCTCCCTCTTAGATCTCATGTCTTGCTAATCTTGAATAATAACTTCCTACACGAATCCTAAACTATCCGTAAATCATTTTAACTAATTGAATTCAATAGGCTAATATAACTATTGTCATTAATTAATCGACTTTATATCTGGCGACTTCGTAATATATTTTTGATTGTCGTGCAATTCACTTTAGCCACCCCCCATTTGAATTTTTACGACCCCCCCCCAAGAATTTCAATGACGCAGTCTGCGTCACAGCCCCCCCTTGTGGGCACCCCTGGTTTAATTGCCTTCGCTTTATTGGAAAGGGCAGTTTCCTAGGGATAATTAGTTGCTGAGTGGGTTTACGTGTCACTTTTGGGTGATCTGTACACAGTTTGTCTCTTTTTGAGGCGTTCTTAAAATCCTGATGTGCATCTTAACATAAAATCCTGTTCTACAGCTATTTCTCTATTTAGTATTGTTAAAAGGAAAGGCTCTAGGCCAGGATTTTGATTTTTAGAAAGAAAAAAAAACAGGGGGAATCAATTAGCTTACCTGAGAAAAAGTCAAAATAAGCCATAGTAGCATAATCATTGAAGAGACGAATCACACATAATTTGTCCCCTGGATGACTTTGTCAAGTGTAGATATTGAGAGTTATGTAAAAAAAATTGCAAAACAAACATGGTTTGGTAGCCAACAATATTTGGCATATTGTGTGGTTTGTGTCTTGTTTGGTGTCTTAATGTGTATTTTGACTTTTTCTCACGTAAACCAGCTGCTATCCTCCTTTGTTTCTAATTTAGATGAGTAAGTCCTTTGTTTCTAAAAATCACACTAGTTCTATGTTTGTCCTTAAGGCTGAGACTAACAAATATTAATTTGATTCAACATTGCTAAACGACAACCAAACAATTAAAAAGCACATGCATAAGATCTGAAAATTGTAAAATGTGTTTTTAAAACTGACAGAATACTTTTTGAAAGTAAAACCCTGAGTTAGAGTATTCTTGCACTTACCTATGGCCAGAGCTTGTGCGAAGGAGATGATGAACCGATTCACCGGACTGTCGAAGAAGTATCGAGACAGAATCACAATGACACGGTGGCAACGTTCACTGACCAACTTGAGTAGTCCTTGGTGTTCAAACGCCAACCCTCCAACCAAGTCTTCCTTCACACACACCTAAACAGGACAATTGTAAGTTATTTACTCATTCATCAAAAACCAGGTTTCCTTTCAAACATTTCATGATTTTCACAGGCTTTTGGCAAACTGTTGTGACAATGATAGACTGTGGAAGATTGGGCTGAGACCTTAAATTTTGGGAAATTTTCATTAATTTTTTTTGTGGGGGGCTTTAATCACTTCAACTTCTTTCAGAATATAAATTTCAGGATGTTAAAGCAATAGTGAAAACCCGTCAGCAGATTTTGGCTGATCGGGAATTTTAAACTCCAGTGAGATCGCTGTTTCATTAGTCAGGATCATTTATAAAGTGATCAAGGACAGCTGGATCCAGTTTTGAACCATCAAATCTGGCCACTTTTCTCACTGATTGAACCGGGAACATTTGACTATGAGGTGAGAGTTATAACCCACTGAAGTGAGTTCAGCTACCCAGAAACGTTTAATGATTTCTTTATAGTAGGCCGTGAATTTTTTGAACCAGTAATGATTTCAACATCCAAAAAATCCATCAGTGTAAAATATGTAAATAGGATCCAGACATTTTTCAACAGCCTTGAAAATGTCGTGGAAAAACAGTCGCATTGCAGATGAAAAAAAATTTTGTAGCAAATTTATTTCTTTGGTATGTCACAAAAAACTAGAACTAAAAAAGTTTCACAATTAATATCAAGTAGGCTAAGAGAGGTAAAAGGGGATGTTAGGAGCAATCGTCTAAATGTGTCCTCTTTTCAAGCATGCAAACATGTTAAAGAACGAACCTTTAGATTGTAGTCGAACTCTAATCTGTCCATCATCTGCCGAGCGAAGGCCTGGTCTTGATCAGCGTACAACAACAAAGCATCATACTTTTGAGGCTCCTTGCCTTGCTCCAGCCTACGAATGTCGTCTGAAACAGTTTGGTGGTGTATAGATCATATTTATTACTCAATGTTTAAAATTAATATATTTATGTTCAAATATTTAAACAAAGTATTTAATTAGTGATATTCATTGAAAAATTATAAATAAAAAGTAACAACTCAATGAAATAGTGATACTGTATATACAAGATTTGAAGAGAAGAATCAAGAAATGACCGCATTATTCACCTAGCAAAAATACTGGCATATGTTTTGGATATGATGTAGTCGTAGTAAACCACCTTCGAGGCAAGCCCCAATTCAACCAGATTCCCAAAGATCGAGATTTTTAGGTAACTATGTAGCCTAGTATCGATGAGAAGCCTCATATAAAATGTAAGAAAAAACATATAGGTGTAAAATTACACTTTATTCATTGAAGACTAATTTTGAGATAGTTTTTTACAGCCTAGTTTAATATTTAAATGATAATAAGAAAATTACTCACCAAAAGTTAACACTACATCGTCACTGTTTGAATCAGCTGATTGTTCTTCAGTATATTTCCTAATCCCAGCAGAGTAGATTTTTGCATCCTCTCCTGAAAATATTTTTCAAAACTGCTTGGTAACTTATTTCACAATAGGCCTATAATATTTACTAAAAAGCTTATTCTTAACAAGAGTCAACAAAAACTAAAGCCTAGATTTTTAAATATACCTCATCTTAAAACATTGAATTTGTTGTCCGTGGTTAAACATTAAAATCTAGATAAAAAATAACAGTAAAAAATATTTTTATCCCTTACTGATCAGGTGATAAATATCATCTACTATGTCCCATCGATCCATTCTACCGAGGAATTCCTCCAACATTGCCAGACTTGCTTCGGCCTTTCTGCCCCAAACTGTCAACAGCTGATCGGCCGGATTGTCACCTGAGGGCTCAGGTAAACCTGTCAAGTGTACCAACCCCCTCCAGTCTCTGAAAAAATTACCCTTTGTACATTTAGTGAACACAGGTGCCAACCCCCTCTAGTTTCAGAAAAAAATTACCCTTCATACATTTAGTGAACACAGGTGCCAACCCCCTCCAGTCTCTGAAAAAAATTACCCTTCATACATTTAGTGAACACAGGTGCCAACCCCCTCCAGTCTCTGAAAAAAAAATTACCCTTCGTACATTTAGTGAACACAGGTGCCAACCCCCTCCAGTCTCTGAAAAAAATTACCCTTCATACATTTAGTGAACACAGGTGCCAACCGGAAATTCCAGATAGGTGGAAATTCCAGATAGGTGGAAATACCTGTCTCTGAATTTCCAACTATATTTGACTTTCTAGAAAACAATAAACCTAAGTTGTCATAAAAAAACCCATCTTATAGTTTGACAGTCAGTGTGTTTGGTGGCGGGTAGTAGGGGTTGCATCTAGATGGTGATACAGTTTCCTCTCACACTACTGACAATTAGAAGCACCAACTCAAGTTATAACATCCCATAACATATAGAGGGAAAGGTCGGTCTCTGTAAATGATATATTTACACCTATTTATGTTTACCTTTATACACCTATATGTTTATATCTGCAGCAGCTATATTGAAAAATACATTGGATTGACTAACGTCCAACAATTTATTAACTTGTGATCTACAGATATACAAACAGTCAATTTTAAGTGATAGTGATAGTTCTACCGATTGAATTGTACTTGTAAAATATATCAACAGTAAAACCTTTTGAATTCTTATGTTCATGATAACAAGATGAAAATACATTTAAAACTGGTATTAGGCCCTACTCATAAAATAGACATTTTACGAGTAGGCCTATTAAGTGGGGTTACAGTGTGGAATGACTAATGGGATTAACTCACCTGGTCGGTCTAGCCATAGCTTGTTCTACCCTCGGGTCAAAGAGCTGGGCTCAACTTAAGATGAGACAGACTATACTACACTACTAGCCTCTGTTACATAAACCACAAAATGAAAATAAAATGTACGTATACACAAAGCAAACTACCAAAATACAGTAGCAACAAACAAGCAAAGCAAAATAAAAACAAGTGTTCACCAAAACAATACAGCTTTAACTGGTGAGAGTTTGAGAAAAATCACTAAAATTCTACATCAAGATCAATGTGTAAAATTAATGGACATATTTAAAAACAACAAAAAAAACCATTCACATAGTAAATTGCATCAGAAACCCCTTTTTAAATAATCACAACTACTGTCATTAAGTTAATGAGGTGAAATTTATGAAAACCACACTTAAACACTCACAGGACGAGTTAATTATATCCACAGGTTCCATGGAATATCAGCTGCAAAATGAAACCATAAATAAATCCAAACAGGCGAATATTACATTTTAGGGTGGATGTAGTCGACTTAATCGTAAGTTAGCCTACTTTTAATACAGTAAATTAACAATGCATCCGTCAGCAGTTTCAAAAGTAACATGCAGGGTTTTAAATTTCAACACCTCAGTCCCGGTAGGTAATGCATTATCCTTCCAAGTAACTTTTAAACCATAAAAAAAATAATGCTGATCCGGCAGTCGTTGTCAGGCGTTCACCCGCGTGCGGAATAAAAATAGTATTTTGTCAACACTGAGGAAGCAGAATTTTTTTTGGAAGTTCCGCGAAACTTTGGATTTTTGATGCCGTGGACGATTTCGTGTTGTGAGTACCGGTATCTGCTTATATGTGTTTAGACGAGTCCTGGACATCACAGACAAAAATAAAGGTGAGTGAAGCCCATAATAATCTTCGGGAATAAATAACACCTCCGCTAAAAAGCATGTCGTTCAGTAAAAATAATGACTCTATGCAGGAATCATATTAAATTGTATCAATCAACAAAGTTATTTTAACGATACCGGTACCTTCAAAGCTAATTCTATGAGACCACTGTTTGCAAGTGTCCCACTTAAACTTAAATTTCCTATATCAAATGCCTTTTTTAACGAAGTGGTATACTTAGTAGCTAACCTAACTTACAATACAGAATGTTACCTTGGCAATCCCTCTTCAGAAGCTAAAACTTTCCTCTTGTTTAGCTCATTAACAATGATCTGTCGAGTTGAAGGCCTTAGAGCTGTAATTGGAGTGTTGTTCAAATTTGATACATCGTGCTTGTCTTCCACCTCCATTTCCGATTGTAACTGTACGTACAGATAAAATGATTGAAAATTACTTTGATAATTTTATTTTAAATAGGCTATGCTTAAAATGTGAAATGTCTTACGGTAGGTAAGTTTATGCCTATGGAGTATTGTTGTTCCTAAGGCTGAATACACTAGATGCAACAGGTAGACTTCCGTATCTGTTGTAAAAAAAAACCGTAACCGTGGTTAGTTAGGTTATGTTAACCTAACTTAACTAACCAAACGATATATCGAATGAAACAATCGAATAATCGATATTTTCAATCGGGGCTGCACTTTACTTGACGTCCTACACTCATTCGAATGAAAATATCGATCGATATATCGATTGCTTCATTCGATATATCGTTTGGTTAGTTAGGTAAGGTTAACCTAACCTAACTAACCAAACGATATATCGAATGAAACAATCGAATGAAAATATCGAATCAGAAAAACAATCGAATGAGTGTAGGACGTCAAGTAAAGTGCAGCCTCAATCGGTTGTTTTTACAACAGATAGGGAAATCTACCCGTTAAACTTGGCTAAATCAAAGTTTAGCCTAAATTTGTTTTACAAGAATTGAAAATATTGATTAATAATCGATATTTTTAAATATATTTATTATCAAATTAAACTATCATGACCTAACCTAACCAACCAAACTTGCTGATGGTGAAAAAATCGCACGAAGGTTTACTAATCAAATCGATAGTTTCAATCAATACTAGCATAGCCCAGTTAAGAAACTGTACCCCAAAAACTAATAAGAGCAAAGTGTTTACAAGTTACTTAAGTTAGGTTAACTTAACCATAACCTAAATGTTAAGTGGTTTGTACAATACTGAAAAGGTTAAGCCTAAAACATAGCTTACCCACTTGAAATGAGTAGATTGATAATCAAAAATTAACTCAGTTAGCAAGCTGAATACCATACTCACAATGTAGTCCAAGGTAGGACTATTGAGTTAAAGTTGTCTGAGTAGAAAGTTGGGAACGGATTCTATCTATCTTGATTTCATGTTGAGAAATTGACATTTAGCTCTCGCAGTGCTTCGCTTCTGCTTGATCAACTGTCGTCATATGATAACGATTCAAATACCCATCATCACCACCTGTTAGAGAAACGAAAGTGAAAGTTCAACAACAACATAACAACGAACGACAACACCAACATACTACATCAGCCATCAGCCTTACTTGACAATCAGATTTCTTCTTCTTCTCCCTCTCACAGTAAAATTTAGGCTGTGATATTTTCCCAAGAGGCTTCGTTGTTCATGTTCACACTCACAGTCTTGTGGTTGCCACCATTAGACTAACCAACCCAAGGGAGTATGTTTTATCATTGATTACACATCTCCCCAAGGTTTTATCTATGTTGCCACAAGTATTTTTATTTTGTTTATTGGGAGATGATTAGATTGGGCATTGACTAAACATTTTATTTGGGAAATGCATGATCAATGGTTTGTGTATGTGGATGGAACAAACTACAGTAGTTATTACAACAAAAAATGGAACACAATGGAATTTAGTAGTTATTAATTGAACCATAGACAAAACATACCCCCTTAGGTTGAACATTATGGGTTGTTAGTCACAGGCATACATCAATATAATATCGTAATTTGTTTCAGTATGTCCAATCTGTTTTCTGTGTATATAATAGCATAGACTAACCATTATATCTATGATAATAGTTAGAAGGTGTATCTTGTATCTACGGGGTATTTGGGTAACGGAAGTATTAGGATGAAGGATATTTCCCCCCAGTAGTCCCCATGAAATATCATGGGGACTACTGGGGGGAAATATCCTAATAAGGAGCAAAGGATAAGATTAGCAAATGGAGTCCAAGTACATTTTATTCTGTGGACCAAACTGTGTTAAAGAAAATTGTGTATGTGTTTGTACTATGATATAAATGGTTATAGTACAACATTTTGATTGAATATCTCTGTCAAAAAGGTCTCATATTGTAAGACCTGGATCCGGGCAAACCCCGGATATATTTATTTTTATATATGTGTCCATCAGCACGATAACTCGAGCAAAAACGATCCGATTTTGATAACATTTGGTATAAACGCGTAAATCTACAATTATTCTAACGAGTTCGCGAACGAGCATGATCGGACTATGGGAACGGGGTTTATGGGGGGTTTTATTGGGTAAAAATAGGTTTTTCCCAACTTTGACCCTAAAAACACAAAATTTCACAATTTCTTTCCAAACTATTTTGTAGAGCTTAAAAAAAAACAAATAATTTAGTATATTGAAGCGTTATTGTGCGCATAATGGATACTCAATTTTCTCTCCAGAGAATTTTCTCTCCAAAAACACACCGTTCAAAAAATGTTGACATATATTTTAATCTCTAATTTCTTCAGGGGATATCTTTTTAAAAGTATATGAAAGTTATTTTTAAAGTATTTTTCCATAAAACAACAATCTTTGCCTGTTTTTCAACAACAGATTTTTTTCTTGTTTCATATCGGTGCATTTGGTTTGTTGGATTTGGATACATCAGATGAAGATTTTTTTATTGTTTCAAATTAAAATTGAATGAAATATGTATTGTCGTAAACAGTATGTTTAACTGTTTATAAGTAATCTTTCGACTCATCATTCTCATGACTTCTCTGCTCATTTTTGGTTTTTTTAATATTTTATCTACATTTATTTTATCTTTGCTCCAAATAGACAAACTCCAAAGGATTTATAATAATAGGCTATATGTATATTCAAAGCAAATTTTTTTTTTATGTTTTGACATTCAAGTATACAAAGCCATTTTTGAAAGGGTGAAAATGCCAGAGCTAGTTTGAAACTATTTTATTTATATGCTCATTCAAATTAAAATTTTGATCTATTTATAGAATTAAAAATGTTTGTGTATTTGCCTTTAGCTCAATAAGCTGTGATTGGTGTTTTAAAGGTGGTAAAATTAAGTTTTTCTTACATTAGGTTCTGACTCACCTAAACTTCCTAAATTTCCAAGTTCTAGGAAGGCAAAAATGTCTAGTTCCTGGGTAGGAGAGGAAATAACTAAATTAGTATTGTGCTGGCAATGTTCCGTATGCTTTTTTTTTACAGAGGGCCAGGCTTACAAGTGACCATGGGATTGCATCGCAGCTGGAATAGCTTATTGTGCTCGGTATGCTGATACAGACTCAATTCATTTATATGTTTACATGCTAGGAATAACTTGTAGCTCTAAAACTTTATTGTATTCATAGACCTACTTGTAAAAAATCTACTCTGATTGTCCCAGGTGCAATTTTTGTAAATTGGCTATTAATTAATTATGCTATTAACAAAATGTGCTTGATTTGTAAAAAATTAAGTGCCAGAACTGTAACCTATTTAATATGTGATTAGTACCAATTTATGCCTATTTATAACATTTTTATCTTCCCAAAAGAGAGGTACCAGAACTCCGTTCAGCCAGGCTCTCCCACAAATAGAGCACTGGTTGACGTCAATATGATATAAAACAATGGCGTTGGTTTCCTTACAAACGTATATAATTCCAAGAATGAAATCAAGTTAGATAAAACAAAATAACTTGTTAGAAATACCGCAACTTTTAAGAACACCTCTGTAAACTATTTATTGTATTTGATTATTAAAGTTTAAATAAATATTTGAGGAAATACCTTATTTTCGTGCAAATTATCCAGTGTCAAGTTTGTCACAGTCACGTACAAAAACAATATTTGTTTAAGAGAAGTACTAAACTATCTCCAACCAACTGTAGTCACCGGCAATTTAAGATAAGAGATTATGTCAGTTGTCTGCCAGCTGTCAACTAGAGTTGAGATGGCTATGAATTACGCTTATGGTATGTAATGTTTACTGTCACTTATTTGAGTACTTAATTATAGTCACTTAGGTAATCATTCACTTAAACAGCAACTTTAAGGTACGTTTTGCTTGAAGCGACAGGTGCGACAGTCGCTCAGCGACTGTCGCCGAGCGGCAGTCGCGGGGTGGTAGACTGTTTTGCTTGGAGCGACATCTTCCTAGCGTCACGAGACGTGGCACCGTCAGTGCACCTAACCTCAAAAGTGCGCACTAAGTATAAAGTCACTAAATAAATTCGATAAATTCACTTAGTAAAACAGGTAAAACTTAACAATAAAGTATTATTTATAGGCCTAGTTATTTGTTATGAGAAACATTGCAAAACTGCCATGTCACAAGCCAAAATGTAATAAAATTACTCAATTTATCCATAAATTGCAGTACACAAGCATAACTTGAATTGGAAATCAGTGTTATAAACAATCTTCTTACAGAGTGAAAATTATATTTTGTTGATTGTATTGTAGATGAAAAAATACCTATATTAAAATAACTTGTAATACAATAACATAATATTAAACGATTAAACTAACCTGATCTCCCGACCTAACCAGCTATTGCCAACCAGACGTTACCTTTATTCTTTGTAGGAGATATGTTTTAAATAATAAAGTGCAGGGTATTTTGCCACTACTTCTAATAAACTGTCGTTTAATTTCCTCACCACTAAAATTTAACTTAATCCTAGGCGTTGTCCGGGTAGCCGACGACGCCATATGGCGAAAATAAAAGGTCGTCGACCTTGTCAAAATGTTATACACTATAAAAACAATCAGAAATGTAAATGTCGCTAAGCGACTGTCGCTCCTGACTGGTCTTGGAGCAGTACCCAGCGACTGCAGCTCGCGGCTCTAGCGACAGTAGCTCCAAGCAAAACAGGACTATGCAAAACCCCTTTGATCAGTGTCCCGGGACTGCCGCTCAGCGACAGTCGCTGCGCGACCGTCGCACCTGTCGCTTCAGGCAAAACGTACCTTTAAGTAACATCGTCTATAAAAATGCAGAGTGAGTTTATGAGTTTAGAATAGTGAGATGGCTTGTGTAGCAAACTATCAGCTGTTTATTTAGTCAGGATCTTTGATTTCTAATTATTGGCCGGAACAGCTGGGTCTATTGTTGTATACTGTATAGGCATTAGCTTCATATTTTAATGCAAGTATGAATGTAAGTGAGTATCAATTCTAGCTTGTCTGAGTAAGATCAGCTGTTTCTTAGCCGGGGGCTATGGTACTTGTTAAAGTACAATAATCAAGGACAAATAATTAGTCCAAACAAATTGGTACAACCCTCATTGCCCTAAAAATTACAGTTCATAAGTTATTGTTATAGCAGATTTTGTGATCTTTCCCATAAAATAGCATAGGTAGTTAATTTCACCGCTTACCCATGGTGAAGATTGCTCAAAAGTCAAATTTTGTTGCTTTATATTTTAGCATATTTTGGGTTAAAAAAGTGGTGGAACAACTAACAGTTTTTTTTTATTTTAACAAATAAACTAATACTACTAGACATATCTGTGTGGTGCTATTAGATAAAATAGGTAAGCTAGTGTTGACAGCTTTGATAAGATAGTGCTGGGATCTTGATGTCTGAGCCTGAGTGAGCAACCATTTTAATTCCTCTCCCTATAGCATATTTTGGAGCATTGTTTTTGTCAAAAAGTTCAAGTTCAATTCTTGGGTATAAATATTCCAAAATTATTATTGAGTTTGAATTTGGGTCCCCCTGAACCCAAAAAGGTGGATTTCAAAGTTTTGTATGTGTGTTGATGTGTACTGAGCTACAGACTACACCTACAGTACAATTTTAATGAAATTTGGTATGCGGGTACTAATCCCTGGTATCACCAGGCTTTTAATATTTTGATAAATTGGTAATTTTTCCATAAAACAGATAAAATCATGGAAAGTTTTGGATTTTTTCCAAAACGGCTATAACAAGTTTGATTAAAATTTAGTGTTATGGTCCTATATTAACTCTAATCAAAATTGTACAATTCCCATTGCTGTAAAAATATGGTTCAAAAGATATTGAAATCTTTGTGATTTTACACATAAAATATCATAGTTTCTCCCACCGCTTAGCCACTGCGGGTTTTTGACACACTACGGGAAAAAGTATGTGTCAGATTGCTGTTACCGTTTATTTGGTTGATAATGGAATCCGAACGATTTTTTTTAGTTAGAGGTTAGGTCTAATAGATACACTTTAGGACACATAACATGACAATAATATTTCATCTTGATATGATATGGCTTCTTCAAAGAGTAATAAGCTTAGATTGAAGATGAATTAAAATTAAATTTTAAGAAGAAATAGCTTCAAGGAATTTTATATCGTGTATTAATTATCCTGTCTCTCAAGTAGACAAGTAAGCTCCGTACCTATCAAATAAACAAAACAAAACATTTTAAGAGTTCTCTTTGACTAGCAAATTTATTTACAAACAATGTAATTAAATAGGTACCTAACTTACGAATTATGGTGCCTTTTCTGATGTGCAAAATATATAGTTATCGATATTCAAGTTTATGGAAATAACTGGTAATTATTTGAAAAATTTGCTTAAATTGATTGTCACCTTACTCTGATGGTAAACACAACGATATCACCTCTGTGTTGTCCCTGGTTTTTATCAGAGAGACAGTTTTTGTTCTTCGCTTTTCATTGGATGTTTAAAACTTTGTAGTTTTATTTTGATGATTGTGGCTCTTTAATACGTTTTGTTGATTTATTGTATTTTAATTGTTCTCTATCTCTAATGTCCTCTTCAGTGGTTCATGAATCAAGTTTCAGTAAGTTGATATTTATTAGGATACTAGTTTGTTCCAAATGTTTTGATAGAAAATTTTTATTTTAGTTAATAATGTGATCTTCCGATTCTGTGTGTACATTCATTATTTTTGTTATTCTATTGTTCATTCTTGTGCAGTAGGAATTTACCGTTGTTATATATAATACGTAAAGGTGATTTCTACAAAACACTACACCTCCGTTAACAATGGACGGATTTTTACAAAAACAATGTGTCAAAATTAAGTTTTTTTTTTTTTGTTTTTTTTTTGTGTAGACACCCACTTTCACCAATTCCTGTAATAAAAGTCCTCGGACTTTGTCCCACAGGCCATCAAAATCCCAATGTATTTCTCATGAAGAACAGATTTTGTTTACTTCAGACAAATGATTTGTATTAATTACAGCTGTTTATAGCTAACACATGATACACACAAGAGTGTTCGTTTTTAGAGTGAGTTTGTTTGATAGCTGGAGTGGAGTGATTGATTACATTATCTTTGAGTTGACTCTTTTAAGTCATCGGAAACTATAACTATTATTCGTTTTGAAATAACGCCTGTAATACTTTGCAATTGCTCGAATTCAATCAACTGGTGAACTAGTTGTCTTGTTTGGTATTAATTTTGACCATTGAGATAAGTAGTACCTGTGGAAATCCAAATTCCATGTTAAAGTGGTACCTAATCATTTTTATGATAATAAACGGTATCAGCATTCTGACACATACTTTCTCCCATAAGTTTGACAACAACCTTTATCATGTGTAAGCGGTGAGAGTAAATATACGGAAATGGGATTTGTACAATATTGTTCAGAATTTAAAGGACTATAACATACTAAATTTTTATCAAAATCGTTCAAGCCAATTTTGGGAAAATCAGATTTTTCTGTTATTTTATGGGGTTTTTATGGGAAAATAACATAATTTACAATAACTTTTGAACCGTAATTTATACAGAAATGGGATTTGTACAATTTTGTTCAGAATATAAAGGACTATAACATACTAAATTTTTATCAAAATCGTTCGGGCCATTTTTGGGAAAATCCTATTTTTCTGCTATTTCATGGGGTTTTATGGGAAAATCCCCATTAAAAATACAAATTTCTAAAAAATGAAAAACTATCAAAATTGTAAGGACCATAACATACTATGTTAAATCAAAACCGGATTTTTGTCTAAAATCCTATTTTTGTTTTTTATGGGGTTTTATGGGAAAATAACATAATTTACCATAACTTTTGAACCGTAATTTTTACAGAAATGGGATTTGAACCATTTTGTTCAGAATTTAAAGGGCTACAACATACTAAATTTGTATCAAAATCGTTCGGGCCATTTTTGAGAAAATCCTATTTTTCTGATTTTTTATGGGTTTTTATGGGAAAATCCCCATTAAAAATCAAAATTTCAAAAAAATGGAAAAAAACCTGGAGATACCATGGATTAGAACCTTCATACCAAATTTCATCGAAATCGGACCACAGGTGTAGTCTCTAGCTCTGTACACATCCAGACACACAGACACACAGACACACACACACACGGACATCATTTCGAAAACCACTTTTTTGGGTCCACTCCAGGGGGACCCAAAACGAATATATCCACTCAAAACTCAAACTCGAAAATTTTGACGAAAACAATACTTTCTCCATACTATGGTATAGGGGGAGAAAGTAAAAATTAACTTTGGTAAGTTGAACTTCCCAGATTGGGCTAATGTCATTTAAAAAAGACTCCTGTCAGTACTTTTATTACAGTAAAAATAGATCAAAATAGAGGGCACAATATAAACATTGTGTTGTATTTAATAATAATTAAATTAAATATAACAACATGTTGTATTTAATAACCACAGGATAAAAATAATTCTTGTGTAACCATCCAAAGCGCTCTTTAACAAGTTTTGAGCCCCTTTTGCAACAGGATGTTGAAAATTTTTGTTGTTAACACCTGATTTCAACAAAGAATCTAATTTTAAACAAACTGGTGTACCTAATTAATATAACAATGTTTTTTAATAAAAAAAATGGCGACATCTGATCCATATAGATGGGAGATCTACTTCAGTATCCAATAGTTAATGTGTGTACATTACATATTTTTGGTTGAGTTTTCGACCACTGGATGACCACTAGTATAAAATATGTAAATGACACAGATGTGTAAAGAAATAAATCAGCTAAATATTGTAATACCAATCTACCACAATTCAATATCTTAAATTGTGATAAGGATTGTGATAAAGTGCTTAATGGTTAGAACACTTATCATGGGCGATGCCCCAAAACAAATTAAATCCTTCCCTGTAGCATTAAACAAGTAATCATTAAACCTAATGTTATTTTAATTGGGAATAAATCAGACGTGTAAAAAAAAATATTTTATAAAAATCTAATTAGACAAATGGAAATTATTCTGCAGGTTTGCTGCGTTGTGGGTATTGTTTAAAACCTGTGTTATGAATTCTGGTGTAAACTTGACTCGAGGTTTATTTTAACTATTTTTACAGCTCTAGCACAAATGTTTTACTGAGAAATGTGTTTGTACAGTTAATAGCTCTTCACTTGTGCTTATTATCCCATGCCCATACCTTATCACAATAGTCACAGTCTACACTATTTGTCAGACAGTCATGTTTAGAGAACAAGCTATTAAACCTTGCCGAATGGAAACCCTATTGCCTAAAAATAAAATGTGAAACAGTAAAGCGAGTTAGGATGTCGAGCACATTGGGTTACTTAAGGATTTTTACTAGGATTTCCCTGAATGGGAGAGTACCTACTCTGGGTACAAGACCATAAGATAACCATAAGATCAAAAATGTCGCATAACACCTGTAACAAATTGGCCACTCATTAAGCAAAATTAAGGATAATCTAGGTATTTTGCTTGGGAAAATGTATAAATGTAAAATTTAATACATTTACATGTAAATGTAATGAATGCTTGGGAAAAATCGTATATTTATAACATCAATATTAGAATCATTGCTGTGTTAATCTAACACTATGGCTGATTAGAAAACTTTCTTAACCTAATATTTGTTTATTCTCCTTTCACCATACATCATACATAATTTGATCAATCATAAAAAATATCATTTAAAACAATTTTGTTGTTTTCAGTCAGATTGGGAAGTGTTCCGGGCGGAGCAAACAAAAAATTTTTGGTCACATTGTTGTCCGGTTTCATCATTGGAGTCATCGCAACATTCATAGTTCTGCAGAACACAAGTTATTTTGCGGAAATGAACACGAGGCCAAATTGGTATGTGCTTAAACTTAATTCTTATTGATAAATTAAAGTATTAAAAGAAACTTAATGGGATATGAATGCATTTCAGCTTCCTTACCTGAGAATAAAAGCCAAAGGAAAAGTTTGGTGGCAGGAAATATTTCCAGGTATGGGTAAAGAAGGGGGGGGGGGTATTAATAATTCCCAACCTAATAGGTGTCAGGAAAAGGGATCTCCTTCAGAGACTAATTCAAGGTAAAATGTATTTTGTATTTTTAGACTATTTAAAAGCCAGGATTATCTTTCAAAACTGTTTAATAATGCACTTTTTTGTACCCACAGTATGTATGATGCCTTCAGAATGCTTTCGTATCAGCTTTCATATAATATTTCGTATTATACGAAAGCAAAACTTGAGGCTAAAACACTGCAAAATTATTTATTCTTTTTCTTGATCAAATAAGTTTATAGTTAGTTTTTTTTTATATTTTGATTTCAAGATTTACTTTTGTTGTTTTATTATTGGGGTTAGTCTCACTAACTATAACCAAGATCGGTTTTTATTTTAATATCTAGAATATTTTGACAGTATTTTTTTTGCCATGCAAGAAGCTTATTTTAAAGATGTACTTGGAATTTAATTCAATCAAACATATAAACTTATTAGAGCCATTAATTAAAATTAGTTTTAACTTAAATCTAACCTTCATTTGATAATTTTGAATAGAGCTATAGCGTAGCCATAGAGTGGTATAACCCAATGCTATTTTGTGTAATAGGATGGACTCTAGAGCCAAATTTGAAGACCCGCACAGCCACGGGGAGTTTGATCCTGGGCCGACTATTAAAGGGAATGTTGGAGAGCATGCATCTAATGAAGACTTCCATAAAGGTTCTGTTTCCGTTGTTACAATACTGTAGTATTAATATTGACAACTAGGTATTAAATACAATTATTAACATAAGAACAACTTCGTATAAAACTCAATTTAATAACTTCATAATGTAAACATATTGAACTGAAAAAAGAAGAAAAACACTGAATTAAACAAACATAGTAACAATTAATTCTGAACATCTGTAAATCCTAATAACATATGTAACAGTGGTCCCCCCTTAAAGTTTTGTGCGCAGCATCTGGTCAATGTTCCATGCCGTCTCCAAGTTCTCAACAGCTTCTAACATAGTAATAAAGATTACCATCTATAATTTCAACTTTTCCCAAGGCCAACTTTTCAGGTTTTTGTAGGTTTTTTTTTAAGATTAGATTATGATGGCAATGCTCCGTGGTATATTTTAAACCGAAGATGAGTTTAGAATGTATGACATGATACTTTTCCTAAGGCCCACTTTTCATGTTTTTGTAGGTTTTTCTCAAAGATTAGATTATGATGGCAACGCTCCATATATTTTAAGCCGAAGATCAGTTTAGAATGGATGACATGATACTTTTCCCAAGGCCCACTTTTCATGTTTTTGTAGGTTTTTCTCAAAGATTAGATTATGATGGCAACGCTCCGTATATTTTAAGCCGAAGATGAGTTTATGGATGACAGTTTTGTGCTCAATATGAGCAAGGGCAGCAGAGCTTTGAATAATCTAAAAGCCACACATTGTCTCTGAATTTAACCAGCGACCTTTGGCTTTCAGGCGAGCACAGACCACCCAGCTTCCTTTCATACACAAATATATGTGTGATAAACTTTTGTTTGGTTAGTTACAATTGCTCAGGTTTTACAAGATTATGAATATTTAATACACAAACAAATGAACGGTAATATTTTTGTCACCAGATGAAGACTTGGTGGCCAAGGAGCTTGAGCGAAGAGTGCGGGTGTTATGTTGGGTCTTGACTTCGCCGTCCAATCATGAGACGAGGGCAAAACATGTCAAAGCTACATGGGGAAAACGGTGCAACATCCTTGTCTTCGTCAGTACTGCTAATGGTAGGAATTGTTAACTATATTTTCTTCTTACTCCCATGGCCATTTGCTATGATTTGATGAAGACTATTCTCAGTACTGTACCTTCTTGGGAAAAATTAGGTACAGTTTCAAAAACTGAAGTAAAAAGGTCAACACTGGTTTCTTTTGTAAGACGGTACAGGCCTAAGGGCGTAAAATCTTTGTACAACAAAAATAACATGATTTTCCATTACAGATACAACACTGGGAGCTATAGCATTGAGCGATAAGGAAGGACATGACTTATTGTGGATTAAGACAAAAGCTGCCTTCACTTACGTCTACCAACATTACAAAGATGCATACGACTGGGTGCTCAAAGCTGATGATGACACGTTAGTTTACCTAAACTGACAAATTTATGTAGTAGACATATATTCAGTTAACGAGAAGCCTAGACTTAGGAGAGTATATCTCAACAGTAGATATGTTAAAGCTGCAATCAATTTTTAAATGGATATGTACATAGTTGAGTTGAGCCAGTGATGGAGTGCAAATTACCGATTTCTCAATCCACAAACTTTTGACTAAGCCAAACTGAAAGAAAAATTTATGTAATTATTGCATTTTATGTCTCATTAATTTTTAAATTATCAAAAGAAAGAGAAGAAATGATATTTTACACTTTAGAACACATACTCATAGTGAGTAATTTATTCAATTATGATAATGAAAAATTGGTTAACAAATGGTCCAAATATACGATGTCTACTTTGGTATCCAAAGGCCCGCAGTATCTTCTAACTAGACCTTATAATCAGTATCTACATTATATCCGGTAGACTCTTGTTGTTATCTGATCTTGCAGTTCTTTTCTCTCCGAGTTTTCAGACCCTTAGTACGATAGAGGAATAAGGAAATCACATGCTAATTTTTTGTTGTGTGACTGTATCGCACCCTTTTCGTCGAGACAACCTCTGACTGGACTCTGAAGATACCCAAGAGGCCTTAAACTTATTCATAATAGTATGAGAATACCGAGGATAATAATGCGGTTCTTTAAAAACCCATTGTAAAAATCGTTACACGCACCCGCCACATCTCAATTATACCACAGCATTATTGTTTTATGGATTATGGATAATCTCTTTGGTTCATTATATTAACAATGAACTGCATTCAAGTATGGTACGTATATTTCCCATAACGTTGTGAAATCTAACTTTTTACTTTGTGAATAACTATTTAAATAATACGCTTTCATGTTGCTTTTTTACAACAGATACGTCGTCGTAGAGAACCTACGCTACTTGTTGTATCACTACAATTCCTCGGACCCAATGTATTTTGGATGTCGCTTCAAACCCTACGTCAAACAAGGCTACATGAGTGGCGGGGCAGGTTAGATCAGGTTTGAACTTGTCTTCTTTTTCTTAGTTTTGAGTGCACGTTTGTAACTGAATTGTAATAAAGAATAACCTCATTTACTCTGCTATGTCTAAGATCAGCACATTTTTTATGTTGAATCGATAACTGCCATAATTGCAATAAACTTGTTCACCTTCAGACTTCTATGGTTCAGACACCAACATTGACTCAAACTCATGCACACATAGGCGCCACAATTTAAACAAACAAGTTGCAAAATGTGTAGTTTAGATTCATAGAAATAACTTAAATGTTCAGACCTATTTTAGTTTGGTTCGAAAAGGATTGGACAGAGATGTAACTCAATAGAGAATACTAGGTGAAACCCGTCGAAATCGACGGTTACTTTTAAGGGTTACATTAATTAATCTAACTGTGATACATTGGGTGAAGTATACGTATTTTGAGCATTTAGCAATAAGTGTAAAAACAATAATGATATTAATTGCATTAGTTGCCAAATTTGGTTGATGATTCAATGAATAAAATATTCCCCATACCATACATCATCGGAGTTATTATTAGTATGTTAAATGGTTTCTCTTCCTTTGGAAGAACCTTATTTAAATAGTATTAAAATCGTATTGGTGGATCTTTTGTAGTTAAACACTTTCGTGATTTCATTAGTGTAATATGATTTTATTTCAAAAGAAAATATTTTTTGGGAAGACATATTCTAACTTCAAAGGGAGGTATATCCGTTACAGTGTAAGTTTGATTTTTCCTTCGTCACGTCGCGTCAGTTCATATCGTACTTCTGTTCCAATGAATAATTTTGGCATAGTTTTGAGAAATTGATTGTGGGGTTACTGTTAAAGCTGGAATTCCTTGACATGGGGGATGTCAGTTAGTTGTCTCAGCCTTATCAATAACATAAAGTTGTCAATATAATCTCTCTACGGAATGTTAGGTGTAGTGGAATACTTAAAGTGAAGTTGGCTTTTGTTCTTTAACTGTTAGTGGCCTCCTAGTTCATATGGTCTTGCAGCTTCATTGGCAACAAATAATGCAAATGACATAGCAATGAGCCATTTCCAAACAGCAACAATACTGTAAATTGTCTGTTACATATATATATTGACGTTTACATATTGTTAATCAACGTATCTTATAAAGGATTATGACTCAATAAGAATAAGACTCAATAAGAATTTATTAACGCCATTAAACTTTTGTATGTGATCTAGTTTAAAAGGAATATGACCTTTCTGTCATGACAGTAGCTGCTTAAATAGTATTTTATCTTTGTACCATATTTTACAGCCAAAATGTCGTGTTATTTTCAATAATGTTACCAACCCAGTGCGCCAAAGTTCGTAGGCCTAATATAGGCAGGTGCAAATAATTTGTCAAGATGGGTACCATTTTAGGCAAGGTTTCTATGTTTGGATTTTATTAGACACGATAAGAGCAGATGTTTCTACATAAATATTTGATATGAGTAGAATATAATAAAATTTAGGCAAAAGTGGTGTAAAAGGCAGACACCAACCCGCACAATAGATATAAGATAGTTCAATAAGAAATTATTTAAGATTTGCTGTGATAAAAGCATTTTCCACTCATTTCGTAATGGAATGTTATATTGCAAAACATGACATGATAAAGAAGAAAATCAGAAAATAACATTGCAAATACTTATTTGGTAGAATTCAGTAACTCCAAATAAATGTGTGTTGTTTGAAATACAATTAAAAAGTGAACCGCTGTTTTATTAAAAAGTATTATTCACATGGCCAAAATGTAAACAACTCTGTGAAGGGATCTTTAAAGGCTTCTGGGGCAGAGTCCTAAGGGATTTTGCTTAGTTTTTCTTTTGATAAGTCATTTACAGACCAGGACCTTTCTTTGGACACCTCTACCAAGTTTCTACGCCCAGCCATTCTCTCAAGTTATCGGGGACAAAGTTTCCAATTAAATATTTAGATTCCCCCATGTTAATCTTATGGGAGAAACTCCAACTTTGTTGGCCCATGGGGCAAAGCCCGAGAATTTTTATTACAGGAATTGGTGAAAGGGGGCGTCTACACAAAAAATACTTTATTTTTGACACGTCGTTTGTAAAAATCCGTCCACTATAAACGGAGGAGTAGTGTTTCGTATAAATCGCCTTCACGTATTATATATAAGGATTATCTTAGTTTAAAAAAAATTAGTATGCACAGCACCCCATAAGTACAAAGTATACAAGTAATTATCTGGGTAGCCGAGGTTATAAAATACCCCCGTCGCAGCAAACCTGACAACTAAGCGAATTTCCATTTGTCTGAATTGATTTTCAATTAAATATATTTAAATGAGTACCTAGGTTTGCTGCTACAAGGAAACTAATAAAGTGTGTTTTTTAGTAAAATATTAATAGGCCAGTCAAATCGTACATAAAAAGAGGCTAAAATCGCAAAGCGTGATGTATTGCTGCATTTTTAATATGTTGTTGGGACCAGTTAGGGTAACTCAAAAGCAAGTTTGCAGCTTCGAGATCCCTGTGCTCCCTTTATAATAAGTAAAATATTTAAAAAATAATGTAATTTTTTTAGTTTTTGGTCCATAACTTATTAATAGTGCATTTTTTATAATACTACTCAAATGTAACAATTAAAGTACATAAAATTTCCAACAATTTAAGCATAGTTCCATTTTTGAGTGTCGAATAGTTTTTGAGCAATGATTTTTTAAATATTACAAATTTTTTAAAGTAATTACCATAATTTACATTTTTCCTGGGTTGGACCCACACAAATTGTGTAGTACCCATATTATGGCAGAACTCTTAAAAACTGCTTTTGTAGTAAATTTTATTGGCTTTCGTTTTATCACAAAGCCAAGTCTGTACCTTTAACACTTTTCTGAAAACTAAACAAATAATAACTTATTAATATCACAATTTTTTTTATTTAATGAGTTGAAATAATGTCCCCCAACCATTAGGTGATAAAAAAACGAAATGAGGAAAAACATATTTAAGGTTAAAAGTTATATTTAAAGATAAATTATGACAAAACATTCTATAGTTAGTATTTTGGCTTTTTGGACACTGAAGGCAAGGTATTAGAAATGTTTCCTGATTCAAACTCATCGGGTAAAGACATATCATCGTCAGGGTCATCTTCATCCTCTTCAATATAGTAGACTCCCCCTTATCCGCACACGTTTTAACCGGACATCAGTTTAACCGGACTACACTCGGCGGAAATGACATCTATTTTATCCCCACCGCAGAAAATGATCAAATATATCGGTCTTGGCACTAAGCCTTACCGTACCACCTCTGGTAATACCTACTTCCTATCAGTAAGTAAAAAAGAAGAATATATGTTAAATTAGGGTTTTATTTATATTAGACTTGTTTTCTTTATGTTAAGTTTTAGATATAGTTTTTGACGCCACATCAACTGATTGCTGATGTACTTTTTCCCGCAGCATCTTTTCCGAGAGCCTGAAAGACAACCTCCTTTTGTTGGGTCAACCTTGTTCACTGGTTAAAAGGACAAGGGCGTCACTTGCAGGATTTTGATTAAAACAAATGGAAAAATGACTTTGTTAAGTTAAAATGGCAAAAGATAAGCTGCATTTTGATCTGCTATTTATATATATAGGGTGAATATTGTTGATTTTGTGCTGTACGGTATTGAAATCGGACCCGGGCCCAGGTCTTACGATGAGTACTACGGTAATAGCTTATTCCCTATATCGAAAATTCGCTAAAACCTTATAATTTTGTTTATTTATATGTCGAAAAATATCATTATTCATACACAGCCGGGACTGATTTACATTTTTGACATGTAAATGTGTGTGTATGTCCATCAGCACATTAAATAGAGTAAAATAGAGTATGATCGAACTAAAGGGAACAGGTTTTATGGGATTCAAATAGGTTTCCCCATTCTCACCCTAAAAAATCCTCCTAGGAAGCTGGAGAAAAGTGCCTAATTGCTTTGCATGGTGGCAACACATTCCACAATGAATTATAAAACCTTCGGTTCCACCTGTTTATAAAGGCAGCAGCCAGCGCTAAGGTAAACTTATAACGCTTACCCAAGATGCAGCTTCCTTCCACTCATTTCGAGCATACCATCAAGTGCAAAAATGGTTAGGATTGAAAAGGATCCCACAGAGTGGGGTTGGTCAAATAGCACAGCAGGATTGGTTCCAGTGACAACCTCATGCAGTCAAGCTCCATCCAACCTTCTGAAACTAATTTCATGTAGGTGCAAAAGGGGATGCACGAGTGCTTGCACATGTCGGAAGGCCGGGCTAAAGTGTTCACCATTACGTACTCCTTGCTCTGCTAAGAATTGCCAAAATTTCACATTACCATTTACAGTATTGAAGAGGATGAAGATGACCCTGACGATAATATGTCTTTACCCGATGAGTTTGAATCAGGAAATATTTCTAATACCTTGCCTTCAGTGTCCAAAAAGCCAAAATACTAATTATAGGATGTTTTGTCATAATTTATCTTTAAATATAACTTTTAACCTTAAATATGTTTTTCCTCATTTCGTTTTTTATCACCTAATGGTTGGGGGACATTATTTCAACTCATTAAATAAAAAAAAATCGTGATATTAATAAGTTATTATTTGTTTTAGTTTTCAGAAAAGTGTTGAAGTTACAGACTTGGCTTTGTGATAAAACGAAAGCCAATAAAATTTACTACAAAAGCAGTTGAGTTCTGCCATAATATGGGTATTACACAATTTGTGTGGGTCCAACCATAGACAATAGAGGAAATATAGACTGTCAAAGAAAGATTTTGCGATCTGCCGCTAGAGCGTTGTCGCCGTTCGATATCGGTTATCGGTATTCTATTCGGTTTCATCGTCGACTACTCGCCAGCTGTTACCAGCACTACCACTCTTGCAAACAAAATGCTTACTATATCGCTATTATCGTCTTCTGCAATCGCGTCAAAATCATGCATCCTCCCCGGTTGTGTAGACATCAACATTGAATGCCGTGGTCCGAAACGTCATCGTCGTCCACGATTGCAGCAAAATAGTGAACATCTTCAGCGGCCGTGTAGACATTATCGTTTTGCGTGATCGTAGAAAAGACGTGATAATTTTTCCCGCGGTCACGAAAACGTCTAGCACGGTCGCGGTTTAAGAACATCTCCCGTGGTCGTGTAGACATCATCATTGTCTTGTCTTGCGCCGTCATGGAATTGTGATTGTTGTCTAGCACGATTGCGGTGAAATCATTAAATTTCCCGACTTTGATATCAAATAAAGACTAAATCCCAACTTTTCAAGACCATTTTGAAATTCAATACTAATACCTGACTTTCCCGTTTTTCCCGACTACTAGACACCCTGGTTAATTAGATTTTACCTTGCAAATATAAAACAAAACCTTCCAATAAACCACTTCCTAAAATTATGGATTAATAAAGAACAACTTTGAATCATTGTAATGAAACTACAAAAGTATAACAAATATATGTTTAAAAAAATACAATAAATGATGACATTTAAATTAATGTACTGCTTAATATTAAATAAGTCAGTAAACTCCAACTCCGGGGAATTCCTCCAAAGTTAGCAACACTACTCCCAACTACCAAGTTGTTATGGAAACGGTCGCTAGCGCTTGATCCTGCAGCGGTGTGCGCCGTAACTACACATTACCCCTAGCGGTCGGCGCCGGAATATACGCTAACCGCATCACAGCTGACAGTCTATATTTATTTCTTTTTGTCTATGGTCCAACCCATGAAAAATGTAAATTATGGTAATTACTTTAAAAAATTTTGTAATATTTAAAAAAACATTGCTCAAAAACTATTCGACACTCAAAAATGGAACTATGCTTAAATTGTTGGAAATTTTATGTATTTTAATTGTTACATTTGAGTATTATTAAGAAAAATGCACTGTTAATAGGTTATAGACCAAAAACTAAAAAAAAACATTAATTTTTTAATATTTTACTTATTACAAAGGGAGCACAGGGATCTCGAAGCTGCAAACTTGGTTTTGAGTTACCCTAACTGGTCCCAACAACATATTAAAAATGCAGCAATACATCACACTTTGCGATTTTATTGTCCAATTTGACTGGCCTATAATAGCTTAGTACAAAATAAATAAGTTTGCCAAGATTGATCAAAATATATCCATAAACAACCAAACTACAACATTTTACAATATGCTCCATAAGAATAACATGGGAATTTTTAATTTAAAATTTTTAAAATTTTCTCCGTTACCAATAACCGTACAAAAATACTTTTATATACTAAATTATTTGTTTTTTTAAGCTCTTTAATAAGGTATAAAGAGAAATTGGGAAACTTTGTGTTTTGAGGGTCAAAAGTGAGAAAAACCAATTTTTACCCCATAAAACCCCCCGTAAAGCCCTGTTCCCATGGTCCGATCATGCTGGTTCGCGAACTCATTCAAGTTTATCCCGCTTTACACCTTTAAACCAAATTTCATCAAAATCGGACAAAAATTACTCAAGTTATCGCGTTCACGGACACATATATATATATATAAATCTATATATATATATATAAAAAAATTTTAACGAATGGTGTTTTTGGCCTCTGGGGACATCAAAATGAAAAAGTAAATCGCTCCCGGGCTTAGGTCTTACCATGCCACCTACGGTAATAGCTACTTCCCTATAGGGAAATTCGCTAAAAGCTCACCTTCAAATCTTAAGGCGGCTGGTTCGATTTCAAATGATCATTTCAAGACGAAATTTGCCATTTTGCTATCGATTGATGATGCTATCTAACAAGAAGTTCAACATTAAATAGTAACCAGACCGATCCCTTACAAAAATAGTTAAAATGGCTAAAGGCATGGATATGCACAAAGTAAGAAAATAAAAATTAACAATCCCTGGGTATCAAAAAGTTAATAGCATCAGTGATATAAATCTTTTTTGATCAATATGTACCAAAGTTATGACATATTTGACAGGTTATGTCCTCAGCAAGGAAGCAGTGCACAGGTTTGTGACCCAAGCAATTCCAAACCCAAAATTATGTAAAGAAGAGGGATCTGGTGCGGAGGATGTGGAGATTGGTATGTTTGTCATTCATAACATCAAAGAATCAAGTATATATTAATAAGTCTAAAATTAGAACTTTATACTGCAAAAAATGATAGGTACATTAGTTGTTATGTTGTGATTGTTTTCGATTGGTCACTCCAATCATCATCAGACCTATATATTTGATTTTTCCATACTTTCTTAACATTTTCTCAATATTGGCCTAATATGTTTCCAAATAAAATATTTTTTTTAAAAAGGGGGCACATGAACTAGCTTTGACGGTTTAAAACTGAATAGGATGTATACTGTATCTTTGTAGGATGTATACTGTACTTTTATTTTAAGCCAAGCAACTGCCTCTACTTCTATATACATTTTTCTAGTACAAAACTACTAAATGTAAAATACAGGATAGTGTCAAGAAAATGTGCCAGTACTGGCGATGGATTCCAGAACAATTAAAGGGTTGTCTACCTCATACACATCATAGTTGTAGACATAGGTTATATTTTTTGTTGCTATTCTACTAATAACTAATATACAAACCCAGGAAAGTGTCTCGAGAATGTAGGAGTGATAGCGATGGATTCCAGAGACCAATACGAGCGAGGAAGGTTCTTCCCTTTCACTCCGGAAAATCATTTGTTCAACCGGTATGACCCGTCGTACTGGTACTACCAATACATTTACTACAACACGACCGATGTGAGTAATGATGAGTGGTAATGTTTAGTTCCTTTATTGTACTTTTTATTCCTAAGATGCTCTTGATCTTATCAGATTTGAAAATGTTATTGGTTTATTTGACATTGATATTTATGCAGGGCCGCTTCAGTAAATGCACTGGGCTGGGATACTTAAAGTTTGTTGTTGGTGAAAGGAAGAAAAACCCCCCCCACCACTTTCTTCACATTTTTGCTAATCATGGTGGACATTTTCTGTAATAATCTCTTAAATGGCATACATTCCATCAGTTTGGCTTGGTTAATCAGTTAGCGTATTTGACAAAAGTCAATAATTTTACATTACCACCTCAATTCAACTACTGTATGTCCATTTCCAAAAAAAAAAAAAAAAAATTGTGACAACTTAAATAAAGTAGGTGGAATGTCATATCAATAGTCAATTGAATTGTTTTCCAATGTAGTAATTTTTTAGGGGTTGAATTGCTGCTCAGATTTGGCCATAACGTTCCACTACATTTCACCGCAGCAGTTGTACGTGATGGACTACATGATCTATCATCTCCGGCCGTATGGTATTCATCATCGAGACGACTTAAACATCTTGCCAGACAAAGCAACACAATGAAGGAAGGCTACATAGGCTGTCCCAGTAATTTTGATAGGTAGTGTTCTGAAGAAAGTCAGTCTTCGGCTTAGGCGGTGTTAATTTTGACTGCAGATACTTTGCCTCCAGTGTCAGTGCTTCAGTTTGTGGTCAACCCAGTGGTATAGTCGCAATTTTTCCAGAGTGGGAACACTCACCATTACCTGAAAAATGACTAACTTAGGATTTAAGTATAGGGAAAAAGCAGATTAGAAACGCGGTCCCACTACACCACTAAGTCAACCCAAACGTCGATGCAGCTACATTTTTTTGAAATTCTAGGTTACATAGTTGTATTATGATAAACTGTGATATAAATTACTTTTCGAACCGTCGAAGAGTCAAAACTCTAAGGAGGCAACTTTATCATGGAGGACCAGAAAATCTGGGATTTTGTTTGCCACCAAGACTGATAAATTGGAATATGTAAAGGTTAACGTACCTTGTTTGTCTTTAGCTGTATTTTTACCCGCTAACTCTTCATTAAGAACAAAAACCTATATTCAACCATGCATGACAATGATTTATACAATTTTTTTGGAACTTTCGTAAAAAAATGTTAATACCAATAATTGTCTACAATTGTAGATTATTTTAAAGCATAAAGTAGTTATTTTTGTACCAAAGCTTACTATAAGTGTTTACATGGATTGTTGGCTCAATTTATAAAAATTGTGTTTCATGATAGTAATGTAATTAAACAAGATTGAGTAATGAAGCTGAGAATTTTTACCTTCAGTACCTGAAACCATAACTCAACTAACCTCAATTATTATGTTTAGGAAATCCTACTAATATTATAAGCGAGAAAGTGTATGGGTGTATGGATTGGATAAATATGACACATTCCCAATTAACATATAGACACATTCTTATCTCAAAAATCCTTATTAAAAATTGTGTTAATGCACAAGATTAACTTGAACTCCTTATTGCACAATTTGTTGTTAATAAAGCACTCTTAAATAAAAACTAAATTTCTGCCAAACAACACTTATTTATTTTATTTTTAAAAGCTATGTGTATTTAATAAAGAATAAAGTTTTGTTTTATAAAAAATAAGTGTTTTAGTATTATTTTTCTGCATACAAGCACAAGTAAAATCTTTAAGAAAGACTACACTCCTTCAAGCAAGATCTATAATCAGGTAATAAAGACTGTGCTAATAGTAGCAAAATATTTATTCATAGATACAAAAATATTCAAAACATTAGTAAAATATAGCTAAGTACAAAATGTGAGTATAAACTGGATTATACAAGAATACATGTATTTGTACTAAATCTTAAAACTAACATAAGTAAAGCTTCATAAGGCACTACAAACTTAGTGTTAACATCTATCGTCTTGACAGAGCACCAATGTTTCTGGAAAATCTACATTACAAAAAAATACTTACATTTTACAATGAACTTCACCAATGATAACATTTTTATAAATCAGTTCTAAGAGCAAGATCTTTTTTTGCTTTTACTCAATTTCTACAAACTATTTAGATTTTGTATTGACTTTAAACCATTTAGGATGCTTAAATACTATGTGATATATATTTGTTAAACTTAACATACAATTGAGTTATCAATTAATGAACACAGAGAAAACATTTAAAAAATATTGTAGAAAAGAGTACAGATCACCTTGTAAAATATGCATGTTTGTAAGAATCGTACAAACAAACCACATTCCAACTACTTGACTCGGCAATTCTCGGTAGCATACGAACTATAACCGCTTTCCTGAAACATTAGTCTTGCTTACCATTCTGTTTAGCTTGCACCCATCATAACAAATGAAACCCAAACAGTGTAATTTAAATTTTAATGGAGTAGTTTTTAAGTTTTTCACACTGATTAATAGCAAAACCACTACAGTAGATTCCTGATCATCTACGAATGGATAACCACGCTGCGGATTATCCGTGATCACAAAAAAATTAAATAAAAAATATAAACAAGTTAAATGTACTAAATACAGCGACGACCAAGACGCTTAGCTTGAGGAGGTCCATCATCTCGCAGGTAGACTATAGAGTGATTTTACCGATTACAACCACGAGTCACTAATTACATAACCAATGAGGATAAGTGTTTTTTTAAATATTTAAATCTCTTTTGTAAAGATAGGTTAATAAAACAAATTTAAAAGGCATCTAAACTGGATTTAAAACTTGTTAGTATTACAATTAAACCCTGTATTAAAGATAGACGATGCATTCAAAGTTGAGTTATTTCCCGGACATTTCTGGTTAGGTTTGCATCATCTACGATTTTGGTTATCCATGATCCCTCAGCTACTCATAATCATGGAATCGGGAGTCTACTGTACTAAATTTTCTTTCTACCAAGATGACCTAGGTTTCTCCTCCCCTAAAGTGTGGAATAGTTGTTTTCAACAAGACGATCTGTACCATATAAATTACTTAATAATATCAAACGGTACATTTCTAAAAAAGCGATCTATACAAAACAGTGTTTAAACTACTTAATAAATACTACAAAAATACTTTCTGATTTGATCTTAACATGATGAAATAAATGTAAATACATTGTGAATTGACTTCATGATAATTATGCATTTTGAGTGAAAAAAATTATATTTAGATAGTTAAATCTATAACTTTTTAGAATAAAACTAAGAATAAAAAATAACAATAAAACTGAACCATTATAACAAAAAAATATATCGAGCATATAAAATGCCCTGAATAGAAACACTAAACAGAATAGAACTTGACTAAAATAAATGCTTTGAAAATAAATTCTAGACACCGTAGGTATCACATTATCAGACTTATTCTTACGAATCAATAAAAATCTTAGAGGTTAATTTTTTGCATCTTCTATTAAATCTCAAACTAAATGAATATTCTACTGATAAAATAATACTAAGGAATTAAATTCAACAAGGACTTAGTATATGAGTATAAAACCTGTCAAGATAAAGGCCCAAGATCCTGTTCATTGCTCATTGTAATCTTCACCATTTGCTCTGAATATGAACCTGCAACACCGTTAACAATTAGTTGTTGACAATTTCACAGTTTTTGTTTTTTTTCTAGGAGGCCCACCTTACTTAAATACGAAGTACACTTAGGTTAACTCATTAGTTTGTCTACTGTATCTAAATATATAAAAGGCGAAGCCCTCACTGACTGACTCACTCACTCACTCATCACTAATTCTCCCACTTCCCATTCACCTAAGAGGCTGAAATTCGGTACACCGGTTCTTTGGGCATTAAATAGGAAAACTAAGTAGTTTTTATTCTGCTTGGGCTTTCGGGCTCCGCCCCAGTGGCTCTGGAGTTTCCCATGTTAACCTTGTGATATTTAATATTTAAAAGGAATTTCTTAACAGCTGTTTCAATTAAACATGTTGGTTCTGTGTATGATGTTCAATATCATTAAAGTTACAAGGATTACCAACAGGGTGCAGCTGCAGCAGCACTATTATTTTTTTCAAATTTATGACTACAGCCAATTTGCAATCAAAAGGTGAGTGAGCGTAGCGAACGAACTTCAACCTGGAAGCGACTTAGCGTAGCAAACGAGCTCCAACCTAAAGGTGAGTGAGCGTAGCGAACGAACTTCAACCAGGACGTGATTGAGCCATGCGAACGAGCTCAATTGTAAAGTTAAACGGGGCAAAGCCCGCGGGTAGAGCTAGTTTCTAATAAACATTCTAAGCCAGCATGAAATTCCTACAGAATTTGTTAATCCTACACAACTGCTATTGACATGATGTTTCTTTTGAAACCCCGTTTGATTAAGCAGGTAGTAAACAGCTGTTTTCCAGACTGATTTCATGCCTGAAAAGTCTTGTCAAAACAGTCTAGTGTGACAAAAATGTTGTTATGTTGGTAATGATTTATGTTTAAAGAAATTCCAAGGCATTGGTAACTAAAATTAGGGTAATTATAATCAGCCTATGCCTGGAAAAATTCATTACAGTACAGTAGTATATAATGGAACCCCATTTGATTAAGGAGGCAGCAAACGGTTGTTTTCCAGAATAAATCCATGTGTTTAAAGTTGTTGAAGTCGTAAAACAGTGTAGTGTGAAACAAATACTTGTTAAGTCTAAAGCCAAAAATGTGTTGAATATTTCATCCTAATTGGTTTGGTCTGCTATCATACTGAGATTGTTAATTTTAGAAAGAAAGCAAACTTGCCACCATTGCGGGAGACGATTACCGGAGTTGCGGAGACTGCAAGTAACGCTAATGGGTGTTGTCGCCATCGCGGGAGGTGATTACCGATGTCACAGAGATTGACAGTTACGCTCAAGCGTGTTGTCGCCGTTGCGGGATATTATTACCGAGGTCGCAGACTGCAGGTTATGCTCCTCCCGATAATGTATCCGACCTTTAGGCCGTTCTGACCATGGCCTGGGCCCGTCATGGTCGGATATGAGAGTTCTACTGTAGTGTTGGAATTGATACAAAATGGTAATGTGTAATAATAATAAAGAAATACACTATTAACTTAATGCAATTTGTGTTCAAACCCACAGTTATAAATTGTACTATCTATAGCAGAAATAAGATTGCTTAACTATTATCCCTGGTTTCAGCATTTATGCTGGATTTAATCTTAAACCAGCTTCAACTCTACAAAAACGTCTTTTGTTAAACATAAAATGTAAGATTTTATACCTACACTAGCTGCTATATTATGGACCAGAAGAACACCAGAATAGTTTAGGCCTACAATCCAAACTATTTACCCTCACAAATTTTTAAAACAAAAATAAGAGTTTTCAACAAATATTTTAATATCTTCAGGTAAATTTAAAAAAAGGTTAATTCCTCTATGAATACCTAAAGTGATTGTTTTTCTCACCGATTAGATGGAGTCGTAGGATCGCCGGTTGACCATGTTGTCTGAGCACTTGAACGGAAACATGACGCCAGCCAATAGGAGGTCGGAGACACTCTTGAGCCCAGGAATACATGGGACGAGGACACTGACGATGACGTAGAATGGGAAACAGATACTTGCTACCCAGAAAGAGAGGAAGATGAGGACGAGAAGCCAAAACAGACCGTTGAACAAATCACTTGCCATTTTGTAACTGAAACAAAAAAATACTATGACTTAGGCTACTAACTTACTCTTGAGTTCTTTGCCACGATCGTTCAATTGGGGAGTCGTCAGTTCAACGGAAATCTCACTGTAACGTACCCAAACCATTGAGAATATCCTTTGGCTCGTTGTAGGTTATCCAAAACATAGGTGGTTAGCTAGCCTCTTTAGGTTATAGTAGGCCTAAATAGCTTATCGGCAATGAATAAAAGAAACAGGGGTATCAGGTTATGAGCTAGTTTTGATCTCAAACAATTTCTTTCAGTGCACTTATAATTTGGGCTATGTTAAAAAAATAAATACAGTCAGCTAAGTTATCTTGGTGATCAGATACAGAAATCAAAGTAGTAAGTTAAGTTAAAGCACAATAGTATTAACTTAACTGAAACCAATAAATTGTAATCTTTATAAATTCTTTACATAACTCAGTTAGTTCATCTAATGGAACTTTCTAAGGGTGTGGTTGAATTAATTCAAGAAATAACTTAGGCCGAACGTGGATTATGTAATCATAAGATTCCACTTTAGGAGGGAGGCGCCACACACATTAATATTCAGTATAATTGTTTTACAGAAGTTGCGGTATCAAAAGTGATAATTTTAAATAATGTTAGGGCCTATTCAATCGTAAAATTAACTTAAACCAACGTCAAAAAATTAGGATTAGGGCTTTTTGGTAACTTTAAATTTAGCACATTCCTATACATTGCTCTCAACGTTAGGGTTAACACAACAAAAAATTAATGTCCAGACATAAACTATTGCTAATTTAACTTTCCTACCTGATGAGTTCAGCTTGAGCTAAGAATCGAGAACGCCTACTTTTGAACACGAGAACTTTCTGTAAGCACAAATCAACAAGGTTCAGGTTGCTTTGCGGCTTCGGCTTGGCTTGGCTGAGTTGCTCTTGAATTTTAATTTAAACTTGACAATCAGCTGGTTATATAACATACAAAATGACGCTACACAGCGGTCGACACTAGCGCCGGGTTTGGATTGAACTCTAATAACCTCTTCACAGCCTTTACAATCACACTTTTGAATTACGTACTATATGAAATAGTAGTGTTATTTACTATTATATATTAGTAAACATTTAAATGGAAAATGTTTGCACAGAATGTGTTTGTATTGGTATTTTTAATTACGTATATCCCTGATAAATAGATTTAATAGAATAAACTACAATTATTATGGATTCTTTAATATTTTACCGTAACATACTGATAAATCGTTCTATATTCCGATGTCCCAACATTTTTATCATATTTTCTTTTGGGATTGAGGTGTGGACCATATCAATAAAAAAATAAACAGTGAAAAGATACTTCTTTGAACTTCTTTATTTGTTACATAGGCAATTAATAGGCCCAAGGAAACTTAACACAAATGTCATCCGACACCCTAATGCGTGCTGTGGTTTTACACTTTTATTTGACTATTTGAGAATAATTGGGAATGAAATAAGATATTTCAAAGTTTCTTTTATCGGTAACGTAGAGAAATTAGCATGGTTTTTAAGTTATAATAATTCAAATTAGCAGACCCTACATTGATTTCTTACATTTTTTAGCTTATAAATTACTTAGCTAGCTAATATTGTGCATAGTTTATAAATAAAATCTAGATAATCGTTTTTATTGAAACTATTTTTGCCAATAACAAAATACAGTATACATCTTTAATTCAATAAAGCTAATATAATAAGAGTTATTCCATTTTCATTTATCATGTTTAGGGATGGGCATGTCTAACAACAATGCTGCCAACAATATTGGAAAATGTCCCCTAAATGGGGAATTCTAGTGTGTTGATTTGATTAATCATCCTTGTTTTAGATATTCTTGTTTTATAATATTTATATTAAAATATTTATTTAAAGGAGTGTTTATACAAATTATGTAACTCTACATAAATAAACATACAATTAACATTAGTTAAAATTTAGTCCTAAGCACAGAAAACATAGGTACTACTATAACTATGGTTATGTTAGTATGTTTTCTGTTTCCTAAGTTAAATTACTCCAAAAAGCAACGTGTATCATAAAAACAAGCACAAGCATCAGCAATATTATGTAAATTGAATCTTAAATATATCATTTTGGCGTTATAATGGTAGAATATATAATTTTATAAAAATCCAGTTTATTTTATTTATTTTCAACTAATCAACCATGTACCTTGATATCGGGTAAACTAATTAACTTTACCAGACTATTCTAAATATTAGACTAGCTAAATACAGTCTAATATTTATGTAGGAGATATGATGTAAATTAAATATTTTATTTTATTTTAACTGAACATTTAGGGCGATTTAAATCCCAGTCCATGAACTTCCGTGCTAAATTGTTTTATTTTAATAGTAACTTAAGTTAATGTTTATTTATATCAATTTTTTCCCTTGCTAACCTTTGAAAGTTAATAATTTTTTAGCTGAATTTGTTGATTTTGATTAACTATTTGGCATTACTTTTGGATTAAATAAAATAACAGTAACCAAAAACAAGCATTCGCGAGAACTTTTAAGGCGATGTGGGAAATTTTATTCATGACCATAGGGAAATTTAAGAGACCTTGGGAATTTTGAAAAACGAATTGGCAGCCATGCAGACGGGGTGGTCAAGTGTCAAGTTGTCGTGTAAGGGGTGTGACCGTAGTAATTTTTAATTAGTTTACACATTAATTATGAAGTGACTGACACTAGTGCCTTTGGATTATTTCAGTAATATTTGTCATTCAATTATTAGATCCGGTATAGTTCGCGAAATCGTTTTTCGCGTATGAGTCATTAAAATTATTCTCGGTAAGTTGTCTGCTTTCTGCTATCTAAAGGGGAGTCGGCTTGCAAAATGGTTGTTTATTCTAAAATGTATTTACTTATTCAATACAGAGGACATGCTATGAAATAGTTTATAAGGTGTATTTACTAAGTTTTAGTGTAAGTAGAAACGTCAATTAGGTTGTTATTCTATGCTTCTGTGGTTTGTAATGTTTTGGCAGTGAACTTGACACGATGACAGAGTATTTTGATATGGAGGTGTCATCCAACTTGGTTTTCAAAGTGAACCCGATATTGACTAGATAAATTAGAAAAATTTTAGTTTTAAGTTTATCGCCGACAAATGTGGATTGTTTTCATTCGATGTGAGTAAAAGTTACCCTTGGATTAGTGTTTAGTTAAATTTCCCCAAGAATAAGTTATGGTCTAATTGTTATTTGAGCAATAAGTTCTTGTGACATTAAATTTGACTAGGTATCAAAGGGCTAATAATGGCACTCCAAGGTTTGAATGGTAGGCCTAACTTACTGAACATAGTAAACCAAATTGGTTTGTTTGTTTTTTTCATTTGTTATCGTTTGGCCGTAGTGATTTCTGCCAAACATGGCACTTTCAAATCAAATTAGATAAGAATAAGAATATCTTTAACTTGTCACTAAATACAATGGATACAATAAGTTAGACAACGTCAGAACAAGTACTACGTTCATGGGCCCAGCTATAGCCTAATGTTTTACCACGTAAAATAGGCTAGGTTTTTTTTTAAATTTTTCAGCCTTAAATCACATTTGTAGGATTTTATAAGTAACTGACACAAACAGTAGTTTTGAAATTCCTAAACTAATAAAAATGTCTTAAGGCCATAAGCTTATTGAATTTCTAAGCTACATTCGAACTAATTTAGGCTTTGCCTTTGTTTATAAAACTCATTGTGATCCTAGGCATTCAAGTTAACTAATCGATTAAGTTTTTGTTATGTAAGTTACTAAGTTAACCCTAATAGGCCAATTGTTTGTAGGCCTATTTAATGTGTTACTTTTTCACGTTAATTTAACTCTAAAGCTATATAAAGTCACATTGACACGAAGCCAATCTGCAGGCAGGGGGCAGGTTAGCTGCCTAAGGTACCTAAGGTATACACTAGAGCACACAAAAACATACTACTAACCCAGAATGCCAACCGCATGGTAAAAAGCGTTAAGTACCTTGAGAGAGCTTTGCCTGTCAGTTCGTAGGCAGCGCCACCAGCGTTGCAATGCACTCAGCATAGCGCCACCAGCGTTGCAATGCACTCAGCATAGCAACGCTTTCTGGGTTATAGTAGTATGTTTTCTGTGACTATAGGCAAGTAACCTGCCTGCCTGCAGGCCTCGTGTAAATGTGGTTAGCCTAAGAAAGTGTGTTTTGACTTCATTTTCGATGTTTGTTCTTAACCTAACTTGGTATACAAAAATAATGTACGCCTAACTCGTTTTTTGTTTCTAAGTTTAATGTTCATTTAACATTGATTTATTAACTAGTCCTAATGTACTAAATAGAACATTTAGTTTAGGCCTACAGACAATTTTAAGGTAGTTTGTAGCCATTTTGAACAGTAACTGAGTGATCTGAGGAGTCACCTCTTCAGCCAGGATACAGCACCATGATAGTTTGAATCATAACTAAGTTAGGTTCAATATACCGGTACTGGATAATAGGAACCAGCTATTGCAATGCCTAATGCGCCTGCATTACTAGGTGTTTCAGAGATGATATCAAAAATATGTATTTTCTATCTAGGTTTTCAGTTTGTGTCTGAAACTCATTGAGTACCGTTATGCCTACTACATGTATCCGTGGCAGAGTCGTTCGAAGAGTTTCACCGAATAGTGACAGTGGACTGTTTTGTGGAAGTTGTATCAACGTGTATGCTAGATTATCTCGTTTGAATTTATTTCTGTTTATCCTTTCCTAGAAAAAATAGATTTATCGTTGAACTGTATTAAAACAACTTACGTCGGTACTTTAAGTTGAACATCAAGACAGGTTTAGTGTAGAATTGAGTGAGATGCAATGTGTACCTTTGTTACTTACCAGCTGTTTTAGTCAGGACACAGAGAAAGTAAGAAACGGAGGATACATTCAATGGTCTTAAGTGATGTCTAGCAGTAGTCGCTGGTGTCTAGAGCAAATTCTATTCGTCATCCCCTTCCTCCTCTGTATCTTACTTCTCTGTGGTCTGGACCAATTATAAAACGCCCAAGAACAAAAAAATGGCTTCAATTTGAATAAAAAAACACTGACTTCTGAAGATTGATCTAGCATCCTTGAAAATTGTATTTTGGTGCAGATAGTTTTAAAAATCAATCAAATCATGAGAAAAGAGATTTGATTTTCAAAGGAATATAAATAGAAAGTTGTGGCTAAGGTAGGCCAAGCTTGAACAACAATCGTAGGCTATGTTTATACAATCTGTGACTGCTTAACATACAATCAATTGCTTGACCTCAGCCAATCTTAAACATCAATCATTTTATAATCGGCTGTAAAATAGCATTAGTTAGGCCAACTTGTATATTAATGGAGAAACATTTGTAAACAATTATACAGTCGGGCCTAAGTTAGGTAAACTATGTCTTTTTAGTTTGAACTAGAGCATAATAAACAGTTTTGCTTAGTGTGTATTTAACATTGTCTACATGATTATAGGAACCACATTGCAAAAATGCCCTGTCCCCAGCTAACCTGCAGACTAAGCGAATTAAAAATTGTCTGGTTGGATATTTACTCGGAACATATTTCCGTAAACATGTTAGATGTATTCCTTATTTAATGGTCAAAGAGTACCGGTACTTAAAATTGAAACAAATGAATTTTCCAGATTTGATCAAACTATATCTATAAACAAGCAAAATAATAACAGGAAGAATAACATGAGAATTTTAAATATAGTAGTTTTATTGGAATTTTCTGTGTAGCCTAACCTTTAATTGTATAGTGCTTCAGTATACAAAAAGTTTTTTTTTTTTTTAGCTCTACACAGATTGCTGTATAGCCTACGGCATTTCTTTATTTTATGAGTAATATTTTGATATTCACAAATTTTGTTATACATCAAAATCCCATAACACTCCGTTCCCATCACCTGACCTT